TTCATGACAAATTAATTTACTGAAATTTGCTCTCCTGTACAAATATTCAAGGTGCAGAAGCCCAAATTCGTTTGTATTTAGCTACCCTAGGAGCATCTGTAAAACATAGGTCCGAAGCTAATTTGAGCAACAGGGCACATATGGAATTTTGAGAGTGTTGTAGGCATCCTTAGAAAATGGCTAACATGGGGGCTTGTCCATTCATAAAACGGTTACCATTCACAAAACACTTATTTCCAGAAGGCAAACTGGGGAGACACAAAGAGATAGAAGCCAGACTATACTGGAAGCAGACTCATTTGTATCACAGCTCACACTGCCCCTTTGTGACTGTCATGTTTGCAAGTATGTCAGATTTATCGGTAATAAGTACAACTTGAGTGATTTCTAGAATGTGACAGGTAATGTGACAGTTTCAGTTCTAAGAATGTGAGAATTTCAGCTCTAAGAAGTGAGAGTTTCAGCTCTAAGTAGAACCAAGGTGTACTTTTAAGTGCCACCTGGAAAAATATATAAGGAAGTTATTTTTAATTGTTTCTATATCATAAAAACATAATGGTCCCAAATTTTGGCAACAAATAAAAAGGGATGTTATAATCTAAGATGATGTCTTTTTAGAAAAGTTTATCCCTAGGATGATACTAAAAATCTTATGTGAAAAATTCAATTCATCTGCTTCTCTGTCTTCTTCTGCTCCTTTATATTATTCCCCTCCAATAAATATTATTACATTTATATGACTTCCATCAACAAAAACCAAAGCATATATAATAGTGAAAAACAATGAACTATAATTAAAATGAGAAAACAATAAGTATACAGCATACAATTTTCCTTCTAGCTGAATCAGCATAAAACAATTAGCAGCTCAGATGAAAACACATTAAGAACATGATCTCATGGATGTTTAGACAGAGAAAAGTCCCAGGAACGCCCAATATTCCACAGCCATCTAAACATGCATATGATTGCATAAAAAGTCTTATGCATATCTACGCAGAAACAAGTATGCATAGATAAGTAGATATAGGGTTGCAGCACGGAACAATGAGAGACCAATGTTTTGTTTAAAATGAAGATTATTTAGAAGCCCAGCTATGCTAAGGCATTGTATGACTCTTTTCTGTTTAAACATGCATGAGGTCGCACAGAAACTTGTATTCACCTAATGTCAAAAAGAAGGTACCAGGCCAAGCCCCTGGGAGGAGGTTATTCCACAGCCAGGATGCCAGCTTTATCCACAGTAGCGATCAACCTCACTTCATTTGGTGCAGGTCTTCTGAGGAGGAGCTTATGGTTCAAGTAGGTGTATACAGGTAACCTATCCTGGTCCCAACCCAATAACTACTGTTTAATTGACTGGAAGCCAATGAAATCATTGAATGTTGAAGGGATTGGAGGGTGTGTGTGTGTGGGGGGGTGGATGGACAGGGCCACTGAGAAACAAGATGAAAGTATCAGCAAGTTCATGCAAATCCTGAGATATGCAGAAGTACAAAACAGTTATTTTTAAAAAAACAACACCTCAAGAAGGTCAGTAATTTCCCAAAACATCTCTTTGAAGATTCTGTGTTGCCTCCAGGAACAATGTGATAGTGAATGTCGCTGAAGAAAAAAAAAAACGAATCATGAAGTTTGGGGCAAGGAATGCTTGAACGTGACACAGCAGGAATGAACAAAAGGTAGATCTCTGGAAGTTTTGGATTTCAGCTCCCAGCATGATCAATGGTTAGGAATACTAGGAGTCGAAGGCCAAAATATAGACTGGACATGCATACAGTAGTCATGCCATGAGTGGAGCTGGCTGGAGCAAGGGGTCAGACTAGATGGCCCAGGAGGCCCTTCTGACTCGTTCTGTTTCCATGTTCTATATTTCTATATCTGAAGATTTACTTTCTGTGTTAGAGTTTATAGCCTGCTGAAATAAGGTATGGATGGGAAGCTGGAACTCTGAATACGAGTGTTCCTGTTATGGCTAATTGCTTTTGCTGTTGTTATCTAAACAATTCTCCAACCTTGACCATGGGGGCTGAAGATGGGACTTGTAGTCCAAAATATCTGGACGGCAATAGATTGGGAAGTCTGGTCTAAGTGCTGTACAAAGGTTAGTTAAACAACTTTGTCCACAACAACTTGTAGTCTAATAGACACAAAAGAGATGCAGGATGAGAAGGAATTCAGGAAAGAAGTGAATTCAAGTAGTAAGTTTCTATACTTAAAGGGAAGTTTCCTGACCAGGTGTAATGGCCACTGAGGATTCAAATGGCTGTTGTTCTGAGCTGCACCAAAAGCAAGCTGTATGTAATACTTCCAGAAAGACCGCTCGCTTCTTGGTCTGTAGAGCTGGGAGTTGTAGGACTTTTTTCTCTCTTTAACGCACATGGGATTGCATTGCAGATTAGATTGACCTTATTTACTCTTATTTGAAAGTATCTGTGAGAGTGCTACCATTTTTCTCTTTTCCGTCTCCCCCTTAAACTTGTTATATCTGAACATTTGGCAGTAATGCTTTAAAACAACTTCTTCATGTGCATGATTGTTAAGCTATCCCTTGTGTTCTTCAGATATTTCACAAAGCTTTCTTTTCTATGTCTTTGGCAAGGAAGTCCCAAGTGCCTTTTTTTCCTTCTATTTTTCTAGTGTTGAACTGGAAGGGTCCCTGGCAGGATAGACAGAAGGACAGAAATATCTTCAAATGTTTTGCATTTCAGCTCCCAAAACTGCCAGAATGACAAGTAGTTAGTTGGAAGTTGAAGTCCAAAATGTTTGGAGAGCTACTTTCTGCCCACCCTGGTGACTGCCTCTTGTATGGGTGGATCCTTAAGTGCAAGGTTTGAGATCAGCTCCTCTGCAGGGGCACCTTGGATTTGATGCTGACTCAGACAAGGAGAGCGGGGGGGGGGGGCGGGGGGGAGATGACTGAAACAGCTGAGGTTTCAAAGGCCCAGTAACAAGAGTCAGAGGGGAATGTTTTAGATAAGCCTGCAAGCCATTCTGAACCAAGATACCAAAGGAGGAAGATTGAGAGGAGGGATAAGAAATTATGGACCTCATGGTTATAATGGAAATGAGTGAAATGAGTTAGAATGAGCAGTGTAAGCTTCCCTATCCAAGCAACTTGCCCAGTTTAAAGAAATCTACTCTATTAGCAAGGCATTATTAGTATGGCTCAAGGGTGACCATTACCCATTAGTCTGGGTATCAGCTTTCTTTCCACGAGCTGCGTTGTTCACAAAACTTAGATAATAGGAGCGCTAATGCAGCTTGACCCTTTGTAGCATAGCCTGAAGCCAGTCTAAATGATTTATATCTTTGTTTGCATAAAGTCATTTTGAATTACAACTCAGGGACTTGGTTGCAGCTGGAAGCAAAGTAGGAGCCCTTAAGGCTTAATAAAGAAGAGGGTGGGGGGGTTTGGTTGTTTTTTGTTTGTTTTTTGGCGCGGGGGGGGGTAGTCTTCCTTCCTTCCAGCTCTGTAACAATCCTATCTGGGAGGCAAGATTTCTAACAGTTTGTTAGAGACCTGTAACAATTGGTCACGTGATTTATGTCTTGTTCCGTGCATGATGACTTAGGCTAGATATGTGCACAATTAGGGAAGAATCATTGGTCAATTCTGACAAAGCTAGCCCTTGTACAGAAATGTGTTTCTTTTACTTTCAAAGCTAGCCAACGCCCAGCAGAAGCTGCCTTATATTGAGTTAGATTATTTGTAGATCTAGCTGTTGTCGACACAGACTCCTGCTTACAGGCAGTTTTTCTAGCTTTATCTGAAGATGTCAGAAATTCAACTGGGGCATTCTACGTGTTAAAATAAAGTGCTCTGCCATTGCTCTGCTTGTCTTATGGGGTTAGGTTTAAATTTTAGAAAGTTGAGATAAGGATGAAGACACTGAATGGGACACATTTGACATGGACATCATTAAGATGCAATCTCTCTACTTCCCGTGTGAGGCTTAAAGTCACGTATCATATATACGAACAATTCTCCCAAGTGTGAGGTTTTTGCTTTTTGTTTTGTTAGCCAATACAGAACCATAGACACACAAATGAGAAATACCAACTGGGGGGAACTTCAAGAGTTGTAAAAAATATAAAAACTGTTGAAAAAATCCCAGAGGGTGGGAGGGGGGAACAGCTCAGAACCTCCTACGCGGTAGCAATCTTAATTCACAAGGCCCATCTTAATTTACTTCTTGTTTTGCCTTCCTCCCCCCGCCCACGTTATTTTACAAATGTTTCTGGAAGGCACAGTGCTTTAACATTTTCAGAGGAGTAGCCATAGTCAGCTATAGCGAAACTAAGCAAGATGATTGTGATACTTCAAAGACTCACATTTATTAGGTGCATCAAGCTTTCGTGTACAGCGCACAATGCACGCAATGAAAGACCCTAACCCATAAAAAGTCTTCCGTCGGTAATTAGGGTTAATGCTGGAGGCACAAATCTGTGCTTTACTTAATCAAACCTTTCTTTCCCATATTATTTTGCAATATTCTGTCGATTTATTTCAAGCGCGAAGCAAGATATTAACGAATCAAATCAGTCCTCCCATACACGTTGTTCTGCTTGGAAGTCAACAGTCGAACTGAACTGGACTTTCATTGCGTGCATTAGATGGGAGCCTCATCCCTGCATATACAAAATCCATAGCACAGCGCAATCCTCGACAAAATACAAGCGGATTGGCAGGTTTGTACGCTATCCTGGGGATTTACTGTCGGTCTGTCCTCTCCCCCTCCTTGTCTACGGTGTTCATTCGATCCCCTGCGCGCAGGCGCCGTGACTGCACTGCGGGGCGTTCGATCGCAACCTCCCCTCCCCATCCCTCTTTCCCTGCCTCCGTCACTGCCCTGCTGGGACAAGAAACCCGGAATCCAGGCAGCGAGAGGCCCGTTACGGGAAGCGCCTCCCCTCCAACCTGCCACGCCCCCGTAGTGACGTTCCCTCCATGCCTACCAATGGTTGTTTGAGCGAGGCGCTCGAGCTAGCCGTCCGTCAGACCGCGAGCCCGTCGGCGCGTTGTAGCAGAAGGCTGCGGGGCGGGGGGGGGGCGGATTTCTCCGCGGGACCAGCCGGAGGGCGATGGGGCGAGGCCTGCGGGCGTCGCGGAGCTAGCTAGTGGACAGTGGCGGGAGACGAGGAGGTAAGGACCTTTTCGCGTCAGTCGCGTCGTAGCCAGCCCGCTTCTCTCCCCGGCCGCCTTTCGGAAAAGGCGGCGAAGGGAAGACGGCTGTGGCCAGCGCCAGGCCAGAGGGAGGAAAGTAGGTTCCCTACCTCTCAGGCGGGCCTTCGCAGTGGGAGATCTAATCTGTTTGTCGCGGCGACGCCTGAAGCCACTCCTCCAATAACTTCTCTGGAAGCCCTTTTAATTCCTCCGCTAGACGTATGTCCCGCTTTTCGGCCTCACGCTGGCAGTGCTGCTCAATGCTGAGAATTTCTGTGTACGTAACGCGCGTGTCAGTACCTCGACCCTGACTCGTGCCTCAGGTGTGTTACCAAAAGCCACCCTCTTTCAGTTGCAGTTATAGTGGGCAAAGGCGAGCGATTTCCCTCTTTACTGCGTGCTCTTCTCCTGTATCTGTACAGAGTGGGGTTTCTGATCCGCACTCTACTCTCCAGAAACGTTGAGGGGTGGGAGTTTGTCAGGATTAAGCAGTCATATCGGATATGAAAGCCTGGGACGGGGACAACATGGAAGGAATAATCTGTTGCATGCGGGGAAGACTGGAGGCTTGAAGTAATTTCTCTGCGCTTTTCCTACCTTCATTTCCACCTCAGCTCTGCTGTGTTAGCGAGATACTACTCACTGTCATGTCAGGGAAGAGTATAGATTCGTTTTTCCCTGAACCTCGAAGCTTCCCCCCCCCACTATTTCTTATTTATTAATTTAAAACATTTGTATGCTGCCCAATTGTGCCACAGCACCTCTGGGCAGCTCCCAGTTATAAGATAAAACACATTTTTTTAAAAAACCCCGATTACAAATAGGGCTTTTTGGCTTCATTGTTTCTTTCACCTGCCACCCTGTTCTCAAATGTTTTTAGCCTATGAGGATTATGTGTTCTCTGATATATCACACATCCTTGTGGCATCACAAAAGTTGTAAACCTTGACCTGTATCTCTTGGACATAATGGAAGATCTTGGGATGGAATGCATGGTTGCTGATAACACCCTCCCCTCCCCCACACTCCCCTCATCTATATATAGAAAGGTAAATGTCAGAGAGAAGGCTAGGCTGGAGTAGTTCTCACTCAACAGCTAGTTTTCTATGGTGAGGAGGCACACAGGAGCATCCACCTTCATCTGTAGTTGCAGGTGTGTACAGCCTGGGTTATCTTTACTGTGTTTAGCGGAAAAAAGGCAAATAAGCGGAGACACAATAGAGGTGTTTAATATAATGCATAGTGTAGAGAAAGTAGAGAGGGAGACATTTTTCTGCCTCTCTCATAACAGTCGAACCTGGAGCCATCCTGTGAAGCTGATGAGTGGAACACTTGCTTGCTAGTTGTGAAGTCGCATCCAACCTATCATGACCTCATGGACAACACTCCTCCAGGCCTTCCTGTCTTCCACCATCCCCTGGAGTCCACTTAAGCTCACACCGACTGCTTCAGTGACTCCATCTAGCCACCTCATTCTCTGCTGTCCCCTTTTGCAGTGAATTCTTCCTAGCATTAGGGTCTTATCCAGTGAGTTCTTCCTTCTCATTAGGTGGCCAAAGTACTTGAGTTTCATCTCCAGTATCTGGCCTTCTAAAGAGCAGTCAGGGTTGATCTCCTCTAGGACTGACTGGTTTGATCACCTTGCAGTCCAAGGGATTTGCAGGAGTCTTCTCCAGCACTACAATTCAAAGGCCTCAATTCTTTGGCACTTAGCCTTCCTTATGGTCCAACTTTCACAGCCATATAGTCAAACTAAGGAATTCACTGCCACAGGAAGTGGTGATGTCAGCCAATCTGGATGGCTTTAAAAAGGGATTGGACAGATTTATGAAGGAAGAGGTTATCAGTGGATGCTAGCCTTGTTGGCTATGTGCAATTTCCTTTACCAGAGGTGGCATGCCTGCATACTCCCATTGCTGAGTAGCTTAGACAGGAAGAGATCTTGCATCCATCCTGCTGGAGGGATGCTGTGGGCAGCTGGTTTACTTCTGTGTATATGGACTACGGACTAGATGGACCTTTGGTCTGATGTAACATGGCTTTTTTTATGTTCTAGTTCTGTACCATGTCAGTGCCAGCTATACCTATCACCAGTTAAAATAAAAGCTAGTACTTGAACTTGCTTATATTCACACCTATTTGCTCTTGTTTCTCCATTTGCTGCCTTTCTTTTGGTTTAGACTGTAAGAGCCTTTGGGAAGGAAGCTACCTCTGTTTCATTATCATGTTATTCCATAAAATACAACTAATGGCACATCTCTTTATCTCAGATTTCTTGGATGAAGCCATAAGATGGAAAGAGGTTGTCTTGAATTCATCCTAGCTGATTTGTCTGTTGGAAAGTAGCTCAGTATTGCCTTTGCTGCATGCTTCTGGACTCAATGTATTTGAATTTCCTTAAGGATAGTCATCAGTGTGCCTCATAAGGGGATTTCCACTCAGATAAGTGCAGTGTTAATTGCCTGGCTAAAGTAACATGTTGGCTTAATTTCCATTCATGTATGTTCCGAATAAAACTCCAACTTCCCACGTGCTGACTGAGGGATGCTGGAGTTGTAGGTCAACACATAAAGGATACCAGCTTGGGTATCACTGCTTTAAGGTACCTTCTAAATTTTTGTCAGAGGGCAACACCAAATGCGGTTACACCTTTTCTGTTGTATATATTTCAGCTAAAAATGATACTAGTACCTTGCAGCCATTTTTGGGCGGGGGGCGGTGTTGGTTTTTATGTAATACTTGATGGAGTCCTTCTCCCCGTACCCATTTCTCTGGACACTGTGGTCGCTATCCAGGGCCTTTCTCTGAGTGCCAACTCAAGGGAGGCTCAGAGGGCAGTAACAAGGAAGAAGGCTTTCTCAATGCCATCCTCACAACTATGTAAAGATTTCCACACTGATGCTACCCTGTCACTTTTTTGGCACCAGGTTAGGATTGTCCTCTATATATTTAATAACATGTAAAAATTCTTAGGGGCTTGAGAGGCCTACCTGTCTCAAGTGTTTTACAGGTATACTCTGTACCCAGTGTGGTTTTAATTTTTTTAGTTTGTTTTTAAATGTTTGCATTTTGGGGAAAATGTGGTGCTTTGTGTATTATTCATGTTATGAACTGTTGTAAACCACTCAGGGAGCTTCAGCTGTTGGGTGGTATAGAAATAAATAAAATAATTTGCTTGGTCTGATCATATCCAAAGTTAGACCTGCCCAACATAATTGAAGTAAATGGGTATAAATGCATCTATGTTTGTTCTGTGATCTGACTCATTATTTAATGATATTTATGAAATGCTTATGTTTAAAATATTTCTTAGCAATGAACAAAAAGCAAGTCTTCATGCAGAAGACAAGATTATGTTGCTGGAAATGTCTGTTTTCAGTAGAATGGTTGATGACTACAGTGGTAGGGTTGTGGCTAGCAGACCTAAATACATGTCTGATGCAGACTTCCTATAATGTATTTTTAAATAATTTCTTCATGTATTCAGGTCATACTGCCTTTGGGAATAGGCACATGCTTTCATGCTGCATAAGGAGAGTTAAAACAATATTTCAAAGCCATATCAATGTTTAGGAGCCAGCTTCACACAGCAGCTCAGGTGCCAGCAGAAAATTAATAGCCTGGAAGAACTGCTCATAGGTTACTTAATACAAACCTAAAATACAGGATCTACTTGAAAAAAAACTTTAAGCATCTACTTTAAGCATATCTCTTTATTATGCTAATATCTCAACTCCAAATTGTAGCATAGGCAAGATTTAAACTTAAAAAAAAAGAGTATGGCAAATAGTAGGTTCTATTAGAAAACAGAGCTACCAAATCTCTTGGAAAGGGACTTTTATTAGGGTGTAATTAGCTCATCCATTTTCATGTGCAGAACTGTGGCAGTCTTGATATCACAAAAGGAAACGGGAAAAGCTGATATACATGATTGAAGACTAAAGCAGTGATTTGAGCAGAAAGCTTTTCATGCTGTATTTTTTCCCATGAATAGTTTTCTATTTTTTTATTCATTATTTCATCAAATGAATTGGTAACATAATGAATGACTATGGTTAAATCAGGCAATTCCAACGTTATAATTAATGTTGTCAGGTGACTGTCCCTAAGCAGCATATATATGCTGTTTCTTTTGAGTCTCAATACCACCTAGATATGTAACTGTTAGATCTGTGCCAGCGTGAATTTGAAGCGAGAATGTGAATACAGTTGCTATACAGTGCCTCTACTTGGTGTTGGGCGAACGAGACAGATTGGGGATTCTATTGGTGTACCGTGCACCTTTCTGCCCAGCAGTCTCCCTATCTGAGCTGACAGAGACCATCTCGGATCTGGTGTTGAGGACCCCCAGGATGTTGGTCCTGGGGGACTTCAATCTCCATGCCGAGTCTGGACTGACCGGGGCGGCTCAGGACTTCATCGCCTCTATGACGGCCATGGGCCTGTCTCAACACGTCACTGGCCCTACCCATGAACGTGGACACACTCTGGACCTGGTATTCACGACGGGGCAGGTAGAGGATGACCTGAGGGTGAAGAACTTATGTTTGACTCCCCTGTCATGGTCAGATCACCTCCTGGTGAGGTTTGTGCTCGAGAGCGGCCTCTCCCTCTATAAGAGTGCGGACCCGATTGTATGGGCCCGCCCCCGGAGCCGGATGGATCCGGATGGATTCCTGGGGGCCCTGGGGGAGTTTCTGGCGGACAAGACTGGTGCTCCTGTCGAGGCTCTGGTCGAACTGTGGAACGGAGAGATGACCAGGGCTGTGGACACGATCGCTCCTAAGCGTCCTCTCCCACCGGGCAGAGTCCGCTCTTCCCCTTGGTATACACCTGAATTACGGGTGATGAAGCGAGCTGGGAGACGGCTAGAGCGTAGGTGGAGGAAATCACGGGATGAATCTGACCGAACACACTTGAGAGCCCACTATCGGGCCTATGCTGTGGCAGTGAAGGCGGCGAAAAAGAAGTTTTTTTCCGCTTCTATTGCCTCCTCACAATGCCGTCCAGCGGAGCTTTTTCGAGTGGTGCAAGGCCTGGTTCGCCTGGGTCCTAAGGAAGATCCGATGCCACCCTCAAAGGCCCGCTGTGACAACTTTGCCAGGCATTTCAGGGAGAAAATCGCTCAGATTCGTCACGAGCTGGACTCCACTAATGAATCAGAGGTCTCTGAGGAGTCGCCAATGCCATCGTCTGGTCCAAAATTACTGGAGGAATTTCAATTATTGCGGCCCAATGATGTGGACAAGGTGCTTGGAAGAGTACGTCCCACCACTTGCCTATTGGATCCTTGCCCGTCTTGGTTAATAAATAACTCCAAGCACGGGATTGGGACCTGGATCTTGGAAGTGGTTAACGCTTCTCTGAGGGAGGGTCGAGTGCCTGCCCCTTTAAAGGAGGCGGTAATACGACCGGTCCTGAAGAAAGCGTCACTGGATCCAGAGATGGCCACTAACTATAGACCTGTGGCCAACATCCCGTTTCTGGGCAAGGTGCTGGAGCGAGTGGTGGCGGGACAACTCCAAGCACTCTTGGAGGAAACTGATTATCTGGATCCTTTTCAGTCCGGCTTCAGACCCGGGTACAGTACTGAATCTGCCTTGGTCGCCCTGTACGACGACCTGTGCAGGGAGAAGGACAGGGGGAGTACATCCCTGTTGGTTCTTCTGGACCTCTCGGCGGCTTTCGATACCATCGACCATGGTATCCTTCTGGATAGACTTGCGGGATTGGGGGTTGGAGGCACTGCTTTGCAGTGGTTCCGCTCCTATCTCGACGGTCGATTCCAGAAGGTAGTGCTGGGGGACCATGTCTCTACGTCATGGCAGCTATGCCATGGGGTACCACAGGGCTCCATTCTATCCCCTCTGCTATTTAACATCTATATGAAACCGCTGGGAGAGGTCATCAGGAGGTGTGGGCTGCGGAATCATCAATACGCTGATGATACCCAGCTTTACCTCTCATTCTCCACTAATCCAGGTGAGGCAGTGGCTGTGCTGAACCGGTGCTTGGCCGAGGTAAGGGAATGGATGAGGGCCAATAAACTGAAACTCAACCCTGACAAGACGGAGGTCCTGTTGGTTGGCGGATCGGGTTTCGGAGAGGGTGGATTTGACCTGGTCCTGAATGGTGCAACACTCCCTCTTAGGGATAAGGTCCGCAGCTTAGGAGTACTCCTCGACCCGGAGCTTTCTTTGGAAGCTCAGGTGACAGCGGTAGCAAGGAACGCCTTCCTTCAGCTTCGGCTGATTAATCAGCTGCGCCTCTACTTGGAATACGACTGCCTGGCGACGGTGACACACGCGCTGGTGACTTCCCGCCTAGACTTCTGTAACGCGCTTTACGTGGGGCTTCCCCTGAAGACAGTCCAAACACTTCAATTGGTGCAAAATAGAGCTGCCAGGTTGCTGACGGGGACGGGGCGTTATGCTCACATGACTCCAGTCCTCCATCAGCTTCACTGGCTTCCCATTGAAGCCCGGGCCCAATTCAAGGTGTTGATTATGACCTACAAAGCCCTAAACGGCTTGGGTCCTGGCTACCTGAACGAGCGCTTACGTCCGTATATGCCCGACCGCCCTTTGAGATCCGCGGGAGAGTCCCTTCTCCGGGAACCCTCCATGAAAGAAATTAGGAGAGTAAGTACCCGGAGGAGGGCTTTCTCTGCGGTGGCGCCCAACCTATGGAATTCACTCCCCAAAGAGTGGCACCGTCATTACTGGTTTTTCGGCGCCAGGTAAAGACCTTTTTATTTAAACATCATTTCAATTGTTAAAACATATGATCTGGCCTGGGCAACTTCTTCTTCCTTCTCTTTCTCCTCCTATATTTTTATTTTATACTGATAATTTTAATTTTGTATTTGTAAATCAATGTATTTTTTGTATTGTTATATTTAATGGTAATTTATTATGTACTATTATATTTCAATGTATTTTATCATGTTGTAAGCCGCCCCGAGGTTTCGGCAAGGGGCGGCATAGAAATGTTATAATAATAATAATAATAATAATAATAATAATAATAATACAGTGTTAATGTATTTTTCTGACTTTACCATATGCACATGTACCTTATTTGTTCTTAACTCATTTAGATAGGTGCAGACATACACTCTGTTGCTTGCTGTCTCAATGAGTCCAGCATTGCCTGAGGTTTTTAAAAGTAATAATAGCAGGATAGATTGCTCCAAACAAAAATTCAGAGTTTAGTTATATATCTGCTTTTCTGTGCAGTTCTCTTGGATTCCCTTTTTTCTAGTAGGCTCTCTTGTGTCAAGGGAAGGAAGAAAGGTTTGGGTAGTTGAAATATAAATTAAGCAGCTGTGCTGGGAACAATTGAAGACAAAAGAAGAAGGGGACGGCAGAGAATGAGGTGGCTAGATGGAGTCACTGAAGCAGTTGGTGTGAGCTTAAGTGGACTCCGGGGGATGGTGGAGGACAGGAAGGCCTGAAGGAATGTTGTCCATGGGGTCGCGATGGGTTGGACACGACTTCGCGACTAACAACAACACCTTGAATTATTTGCAGTGCCATCCAGTGAGACTATTCATTAACCTCTGAACCTGAAGTATTATGAGCATTCTGTGGGGGGGGGGTCAAGGAGCATGGAATGAAGTTAAATTTAATCTTTGCTCTCTGGGCAAAGCATTTTGATGGCTAAGAAAAGGAGGTTGAGGTGCCTCCAGGATACTCTATACTCTTTATGCTGGTGGTGCTTGTCTCTTTCCTTCCCAGTACCCCAAAATGCCCAGCACAGGTTCTTTGTATGCCATTTTCTAAAGCAGAGGGAAGACAGTCCCAGGTTTACGGCAAGTTTTCAAAGTCAACGTTGGAGCTCCAAATACTCCTATGGCTTTCTAAACTGTTCAGCAGCTATAGGATTGTGCTCTTACTAAGCTAATTCAAGGTGCTAAGACAACAATTTGGGGAATTTTTAAAAATCCCTTTTTTCCATATTTTAGTGGTAAGAAATTCCAAGGACAGTTGCTCCTGGATGAGAAAGTACTTATGCGACTTTTGAAGACTTGTATATCTGTAAATTAAGCAAATAAGAGGATGGGGGAGCTGAATTAACATCTTCAGAATCCTAAAGAACAAGATAGCACTCCACTTGCAGCAAGCACTAACTTCAAATTCTTGAAGTTGTTCATTTTTCTTTCTCTCTCTAATGGTCTGCCACTTCAAAATGTGAGACTGCTTTTTAAGCATTCTCTGCCTCCCCCTCAACAATTGAGCCCCTTCTACCCAGATTATTGGTTATTTATGACATCTACAGCCCACCTTAATTTTAAAAAGGTCCTCTCTTCAAGCATCAGTAGCAGGGAGACTGATGCAAACTGTCTTCCCTGTAAACACCTCTGTGCCTCTAGTGTTTTATTTCACTTGGTCACCTGCAAGTCAGGTCTTACAATGCCAGACATCATCAGACTTTGGATGAAATTTTGTCAATTCTCACAAGTGCTGAGCGCATTTGTGCATGCATGTTTAGGGCAAAGTTATAAAAGGCTTCCTTCCAAGTTCTTCAGTCCTCAGCTTGAGGCTGCAAACCATGTAGCCTGTCTCTTCTGTTCATATTTCATCTACGCTAGGTATATGCAGGCCACTGTACTTGCAGATGAGGAAGACATCTTTTCATGCCATTTAGATTTGATAGGAATAGGCATGTTTTTCACTGCCTCAGAGTAATCTGTACTGATCAGGTAGGAGTTACCTGAATGTTGAATTTCCTGTGATTAACTTTTGTTTTTTACTTGGTGTAATCCTTTTCTTTTACTTGATATAATTTTACTCATCCTGTAATTTACTTTTTGCAACCTGGCAGGTGGGAGATTATATTGGGGATGTGGAAAAAAAGAGAACTAAGCCTGCATTCTCAGTGGATATTCCAATGATAGTTAATTGAAGATAAACAGCTTAGAAGAGTAATGTGTTAACCTTACAAAAGTGGAAAGTATAGCAGCCCCTTTCTTCAAAGAGTTATTGAAGAGTTGCTACCAGCTAAATGGAAATCTTCAATCTTGGAGGATTTTGAAATTCCTTTCTTTTTCTTGGTTGCATTGTTCTTCTGAAGTTACTCCACTAGACAGCTCTCTGAGGTGGTGTTAGATAGGAAATGAGTGGTTTTGGACTGAGATCCATGTCTGTTTCTGTCCAAACGCCTCAATTTGCCACTTAAACTCCCATTTTGAAAGGGATGTAGAAGAAAGGGGGGGATAAGTTAGACTTGTGTACTTAAAAGCACTTGGAAGCGTGGGACAAAAAGTGTAATGTTGCACCTTAGCTCTTCTGTCTTGCTTGGCTTAGTTCCTCCACAACAACTACAGAGCAACAGCAATGCTGTCTATCCTGTGTCTTTGCACATGTGCCATAGGCAGAGAAACAAAAACCAAAAGTTTAGAACTTTCAAGAAGCAAGAGCTGTAGTTGGTCTGAATAGAGTCTTTTTCATGATATGATACACTAAAATCAATGCCTATCTTTGAGTTTTCTTATATGTGTAAGGGTTGGCAGCCATTAATTGAGTTTTATGAAACCGTGGGTAGCTTTAACATTAAGTTACTTAATTGTAACTTAACTTTAATGAGAGAAATATAGTCTTTCATTGTTAAAAAGGCATCTATTTTTATCCACCTTGGTGCTGTTTAGCAACCATACTTCTTCTGATGGAATTGTCATGCATATTTCACTGCACAGTATGTATGAGGACATTCTTTTTCTCCCATAGTTATTTGCCTATGTGATATTCTTTTTCTCCTCTAAACTTTTTGTTCATTCTTAATAATTTCCTCATAATAAAGAAACCCACGAAAATTAGGATATATTTTTATAAAAAGAAATAAGTTCATTCTGTGAAAAGAAGCTACAGAATGTCTGTTTTTTACAGTGGTTCAAGATGTTTTCAAAATGGAATTGGTCAGTAAAAGCTGTGTGGACTCTCTTGAGCATTTGCATTCACACCTTTGGAGGTAAGCCTGTGGAATTCATAAATGTAATGCAATGTTGTACCATTCTGTGAATCTCTTAGTTCTGTAAATATTATAGAATGTATTTGAATGCTTTATTATTATTCTTTACTGTTTTAGTTTGATAATCCTTGATGAATTTTTAGACTAAAAGCGTTTGCACAAATACCAATTCAGTATTTTGTTGAGACAAATTAAAAAAATTAAAAATGTAGTGACATGAGTCACACATTGTCAGTTTGAAATGAAGACAGTTTCAGATATACAGTTCAGTTTCATGTACATCTAATTGTACAATTAAACTTTGGCTTTCACAGCTAGTGATATTTGCAGTTTTTCCACTTTCATGGGGGTGCTGTGCCCCTAACTCTCCACAAATGTGGAAGACCATAATTTATTTGCATGATGGAGGGATTTAAAATATTTTCTCCATCTGTACAATGTTTAATTGTACAGATTAACTGAATAATAAGTTTCTAAGAAAGAAATCAACTTCAGATACAGATTTTGATTTGGGTCACATTTGTCAAAGGAAGTCACTTCTAAGTTGGGAAACAGTTCTATTCCAGAGGAGAAGGTAGCATAAAATTAGATGGCTCAGGCTGTAATCTAACAAAACTGTCCTAGCAGGTCATCTCTTGGTACACATAAAAATCCACAGCTCTTCTACTGGCATTTTAAAAAATAATAATGAAACTAAACAGAATTAATTGGATCTCTTCAAATTTACCTTATTGTTTAATATTTAAAATACATGAATTTCCTTGGAATAATTTGATACAGTTAAGTAATAGGTGCCACATAAATGTTCATGATGTTGAAGAAAGTTTATGTATGTCATTTTAAAATGTTTTTGTTCCCTTTCCATGCTTACAGTAATTTTTTTTAAAGTATTAGATGGGCCTTAGGAAGTGTAACACATAGTCAGAGTTGCCTCCTCACACTTCCTGTCACGGTTCTGCTGCTAATAGTGAAATCATCTCGGAAATCCTGTAGGAAAGCACATGTACTATCATGAGCAGAAAGCTCACATAGTTATTAAGAGTTCCAGTTGCTAGGCACAATACAGTGGTACCTTGGGTCACAAACGCCTCAGTTCATGACCAAATTGGGTCACGAACAGAAATGTCAGGAAAAAATTGACTCAGGTTGCGAACTCTGCATTGGAGGACGACCACGATCGCGACCATCTCCCCTGCACAGGTGCAATTGGGGGGGTGGGGAGATGGCTGTGATCGCTGTCGCACTCATGCAGGGAAGACAGGTATGATTGCGATTGTGCTGGGGGGGGGGAGATGTCCGCGATCGCGCCTGTCTCCTCCCCCGAGTGTGCCCACAGTCACACCCACAATCACACCTGTCTCCCCTGCACGAGCATGCCCGCGATCACGCCCGCCTCCCCCCAAGTGCACCTGTGAGCGCACCCGTCTCCCCCCCCCAGAACACGATCGCTATCGCACAATTATGGTGTGAACTCTCCCTCCAAACAATAACCTCCCTCCCACCTAGGTTAGTGTTCTCTGCTTACTGTACTTTGTTACTTAGTTGTTCTTTGTCACTTTGCTTCAAATTTTTCTGATTGAAAAAAATAGTTACAGAACCTTATGTAAACCTTATTTACATTGAACCTTATGGGAGAATTTGACTTGGCTCATGACCATTTCGGGTAGCGATCAGAGTCATGGAACCGATTAAGTTTGTGAGCTGAAGTACTACCGTATATAATACTTACTGAGTACAAATTATATCTTGTCTTTCTGACGCTGAAGCTCAAGTACCTGTAGTTCCCAGGCAGTTTTCCCATCCAGGCATTGACTGACTAGGCACAGACCTGCCTAGCTTCAGCTGTACCAGGTACCTTTATAGCATGTCCAGGGCTTATCTTAAGATAAGCTTATTGTAGTAAACTTCCTGTTTCATCCTCTGTGGAGAAGCTGAAGAACCATTCTGTTTGGTGTGGGATATGTTACTAGTGGAATGGAAAATTGCCCAAGAGCAGATGTAGGTCTCCCCAGTCTGGGGCAGTTCCTCTTCCAGCAGCCTGCTACATTCTGTTACCCATGCAAAGATTCCCTAACATTCCAATGAGGTTTTTCTCAATGATACATAGTTGGCTACAGCAGGGAGGAAAGGGCAGGAAATCTTTCCATGAAATTCTGTTCACTTGTCTTAGATTCAAGCCAATTTATCTCATATGGAATACTTCCCTTTCATTTTTCTAGGATGTTTTCTAAATAGCAATTGCTATTTTAATTTGTATTGTTGTTATTTGCTTAGAGCACTTGTAAGCAATGTGGTGACTTCCAGAAGTTTTGGACTACGTCTGTAGCCTGGAAAGCACCGGGTTGCCTTCCCTGAGTTATGGCAACATTGAGTATGCTGTCATCAGGTGGAAAATCAACTCTAATATTCTCTTTAAGTTTCAGATGGTCTGGTGAAGCTGTGTGGCTATATCATCCCAGAGTCTCCAGTTTTGCTTGCTGGCTCCAATTTCACAGCATTTTGCGATATCAGCGACTGCATGTATGACAACATTAATGCCAGTCAAATTTTCTGGAAAACAAAAAATGTGGTTGTCCCAAAAGAACAATATAATGTAATAAACAAAACTTTCTCTAGTGTCACATTTAATGACACCTCTACTTTAGTTTCTCCTCTCACTTGCAACATCTTAGCCAGAGGCAACATTGAACGAAACATCTATGGAATTAACATACGTTTGGGATGTAAGTAGTGCTCTTTACATTCTTCCCTATGAGTGCATTGAGAAAATTCTACATTAAATGTGCGGTCACATGCTAGGTAGTGATACCTTACATTTCCTCTCTGTCATCTACACAGCATCAAATAAAGACTTAGAATGTTACCTTTTGTTTTTCAGCTAAAAGACTTGTACAAGAAAAGAAAACTAAAGCATAGCATTGCAGATAAATATTTTGGCAAATTTATTATATTTTTATACTGCCCAATAGCCTGAAGGCCCCCAAATATATTGAAGACAAAGTAAAGGAAAAACACTAAAGTATTTCATAAGTTTAAGAGTTGCCAAGTAAAAAGCAGAGAAAAATCCTGTTCAAGATTACACTTAACTATATTTCATGAGAACAAGAATTTGATTTTAACAATAAAGGTATCATGGAACACTTAAACTGCTTTAGATTTCTAAAACACAGTGGAAGGAGTCTCATTTAATTGTTCTGTACCACCCAAACAGCTTTAACTATGGAGTGGTATTGAAATGAAGATGGTGATGGTGATGAAATGTAACTAAATAATTAGAGATTAGAGGGAGGATACCCTTTTCTTGTTTGATTGTCTACTGTTTAACTACTCCAAATCAACGACCCATGCTTTGCCCAACTTCTAAGAAAAATGATACAGTTTAATCATGAGTCTTAGTAATAATATGGAAATATTAGTGAAGGCCATCAGGGTGCAATCCAGTATTGCTGCCCATAGCCCCCTGAACTCAGAGGATTATGGAAGCAAAGGACCACCTCCACAATCCTCCTGTTTTGTAAAGCAAGAGTGACACTTTGGACTGGGAAGAAAGGCTGAGGTGTCTCCATCATATCTTAGTGGTACCCATTTCCTTCCTTCCCCACCACCTTCTCCAAAGTCACTTTCTGTGATGACTGCAAGAGGTGGAGAACAGGAATTGGGAATTCCAGCTGTGAAGCTGAATGGTTTTCCACCTTCATAATTAGGGATCCAAGAAATCATATGGCTATGTAGATACTTGCAGGTTGTATCACTGTTAAAGCACAAACAACCAGATTAACAGAATGGGGTATGAAGATCTTGTAATGACTACACATCTAACCCACCTTGTGCTCCTATAATTTCCTTTCTAAAACCTTCCATACCACTGAGGGAAATCTTCCATGTTAGAGCCCATGTTCAGCAAAATACATATTATGTCTTATAGCCCAGTAACAACTAAGTCTAGAGTACATGCAAGTGCTTTCAGTTTTTCCTGTTAACTTCATTTGGGGCCCAATTATACAATTAGCCTTTGTGGGTGTGTTTCTTCTGTTTGGCATAAATTGTAGATTCCAAGATGGTGATAGACCAGACCAGAGAGCCTGAAAGTGGTAGGTGGGTTTTGCTGCAATCCCAATTTTGCACTCACTGGACTGTCATTAACTAAAAACAAAAGAAGTATTTGTGAAATGGTTAATAATATGAATGGTTATTATCCTCAATATAACATTCAAGAGCAACATTGAATATTTGCATGATATTGTAAAATACATAACAAATCTACCACCATTGTGCCCAGTTGTAGGCCACATACCCTTAAGATTGTTATTGAGCTCCATCAATATCTATCCTACCACAGATGTGTGCTGGCATTCAATTGTAAGTCTACAAAGTGGGTTATCTAGATAGGTAGGGAGAGTCAGGATTGTGCTGGCTCCGTGACCTTTTTCTTACTGTAAAGAGAGAAGCAAAACCCTTTTGGCTGATAGTTTTAGAAAAAGAAAGTCTTGGAGGATCTAGCATATGTCTTTTCTTTCCTGATCCACCTTATGTTGATTATCGCAGAAAGACTACATTAGCCTGATTACAGGTAATCACTGATAGGGATTAATTATGTCCCTGTTCCTGAAATGTTCAGTATGCATAAAATTCAGCACAAAAAACAGGAAGGAGAACCATGAATGGTTATATGTGTTTAAGCTTAGCTCTGGCCGCACTTACAGAAGGGCATGGAAGGTACAGGTTTTGTCAAGGGCTTCCTTGGAAGACGAATTTCAGAAAGTGATGACATAATGCATGCATTATGGGAAGCACATTCAAGCATATAGAGCAAGAAGGGAAAGGGTGGAGGGAGAGGAGACCTGACAGCAGAGGCAGTAGTAGAGCTGGAGAAGTGAAGTATATGCAGGATTAATGCTGGTAGGAAATTGGGTTTTAACAGTATACTCTGTGCAATATTGGCATGTTTAGATTTATTTAAATCTTTTTTAAATCAAAAAATTGTTTAATCAGGCAACAGAAATCTACAAGATTAATTTTCAGTGTAGGTATTTACAATAGTTGCGACTATCATCTTAAAGCAGGCATGAGTGATTTGTAAGCCAAAACCTCTAAAAGGGCACAATCCCATGATGTTTCACTATTGACTGGGTTTAGTTAGGTTTAACGATAGTTGTAGGCCAAATCTGGAAGATAAAAAGTTGACCAACCAGTTTTAAAAGTTTCATTCGTCTTATACTTCCAATCTTTTGAGATAGTACTTGTGTCATATTCCTAAACACAGACTTTCCTAAATACCAGGATACTCTTTTCTTTTGAATAATTGTTTTAGTAATTTGTGTGATAGATTTTATTTGAATGTATGAGTTATAATTAATCTAATCCCCAATACGTTGAATAGTTTTTTTCTATCTAATTGAAGTATGTGTCTAAATATTCTGGGCTGGATTAAAAATTTGTGCTAGCATGCAAATTTTCTGTCCTCGCTGACCTCCTGTGGGTCCCCAGTGCCTCTCTGGAGATTGGGACCCCCACCTGAACAGACTAAGCTGCAGTACAAGAGGCTTTGATGAAAAGGGGAAGCATCCCACTATACCCCCTGCACAACAGTTCAGGAGTGTTGCCAGACATTCAGAGAGATGGGGCATTGCATGATGGATGAGGGAATGGAAATTATCCTTGCATAAGTATCCTTTCATCTGCACTCATTTTGTATCCAAACCATTTTCTTGGGGTTCAGGCTAAGAAAGTAAGATGACTGAACTGTAATCAGTTGCTTACTTAAAGTTATAATACCAGGATAAGTCTGTGTTGTTCACTGAAGAGGAGGTGTGCTGGTGGATTAACGTGTGTGTATTTAATGCAGTTCCTCCAGAAAAGCCTAAGAATTTGAGTTGCGTTGTGATTCAAACTCAGAGAGATTTCAATCGAACATGTACCTGGGACCCTGGAAGGCCCACACTCCTAAAGACCAACTATTCTTTAAAATCACGCTGGTAAGTGATATACGTTTAAAGTGATATACTTTTAAAGTAATGCTGGGAACAATTGACAGCAAAAGAAGAAGGGAACAGCAGAGAATGAGGTGACTGGATGGAGTCACTGAAGCAGTTGGTGTGAGCTTAAGTGGATTCCAGGGGATGGTGGAGGACAGGAAGGCCTGGAGGAATGTTGTCCATGGGGTCGCGATGGGTCGAACACAACTTCGGGACTAGCAACAACGACAAAAGTATATTTTATAAATTAAAGGCCTGAAGACAAATTTTAAATCCTTGAGGATGTGCAGGCAGAGCTTTCAGAGAATTCTTACACTTCTGAAGTTAATGTGATTTCTGTGGCTCTTATCAATTCAGTGAAATGTTTGTTTAAAGAACATTTTATGTGAATCATTTTATATTCTGTGTATTCCATAACAACTTAGTTTTTGCAGTGCTTCATCTTTATCCCTACTTGTTTCAGTTTTTAAAAGTTCAATAAGTGAAATATAAATTTATCAGAGTTGGTATTTATTGAAGTGCATGGGAAAGTGAATGTACTTGAACACCTAGGCAAATGGATGCATTCTAACCCTAGCAACTTCTCAGTTCTCAAAATAGGATAGAGAAAATAACTTGGCATTTTGTCTACATTTATTTGTTTATTTATTTAAGCTACTTGTATAATCTTAAGTTTCTCTAAGCTGTACATATGCATCTTCCTTTATTAAAAGCACTAAGCCATTTCTTTTTACTTGCAAAATTTTGGCTTTAAGCTGCAGCAGTTTTGGATTGCAACTATTATTTAGCTAAAAATTCTGATTGGATTTAGTTTGAGTAAAGCAATTAAAGTAGAATTATGGAAATGAATATGCACTCCTAAATTCTCTTACTAGAAAGTAAATCCCTCCTAATTCTCTGGGACATACATCTGATTAAATATGCCCAGGATAACTATGCACAAGGCACTGCATTTTTCTTGTATTAAAATCTGTTTTCTCTCTTCAACTGTAGGCCGACCTTTAAATTCCCTGACTGTATACCCACACAAACTAATAATTCCTGCACCATTTCTGAAGTTAACTTCTATGTTACCCTAGAACTGTGGGTGGAAGCTGAGAATGAGCTTGGGAAAGTTGAATCTGACCACATTGAGTTTGCGCCTGAACACCATGGTAACTATATCCTTTTAGTTTGCTTTGGAATTCAATAGAGCTTCTTCTGTGAATAAGAATTCTTGCCTCCAAAAATTGTTCTTCAGAAAATTTGCTCTAGTTGTGACAAAAGGAGTAGATCAACCTTTTGGCTCATGGACACACAGCCACAGGACACACAGCCACCACCAGACCACAGCCACCACCAGATTGAAAGCAAGATTGGTGGGGTTTAGAAAATTGATGATGTCTAGATGTTCCTCAGTCTGAGAACAATAGTTCAAGAAAGATCCCAAAATGGATGTGTAAAGAGGACAATAGCTGGTGAAGAAAACTGACCCAGAAGAAGGGGTTGACATTCCCCTGTCAAGATAGGTGGAAATGATAGACATAGATCCAAATGAACAAAACAAGTAAATCTATGTATCTTGGGATTTAACTGTACTTAAGTAGGTAGTGATGAAACTGAGACAAGGATGAGCTTCTTTTTGTCTGTAAAGTGGGTGGCAAACTCCTCATAGAGGCATGATTGCTTAATTGCCTTGTAAAGATAGAGTTGACACGATTGCCATCTTGAGCTTCTCTGCTGGACAGCTGTTGGCAGATGTCTGATGTCAGCAGTGCAGTAGGAGCTGTAACCAGGAGCTGTATGTACTGTAACCAGATCATATGCAACAATTAGTTGGCTTTTGTCAAGGTGAATGTCAGTAATACAGAGGCATCTTTCTCTCTGCTTGTATCCACCTTTGTTGTAACAAAGAGTTCATGTGGAAACTATGTCAGTGAATATGTGAATGGTGACTGGTATCTAACTAGCCTTCTGTTTCACAAGGCAAAGTGTTGAAAGAGTAACCATCATGGCCAGTGCAGAAAATTGCACATTTCTGGAGTACATTTGGTTCCATGGATTTCTTGAGGGTAGAGCAACTGTTTATTGTGTTCTTGACGGACTTTAAGTCCTCCAGTTAAGAATCACGTTTACAGCTAGGAGATCCATCCTTGGTGCCTCAAGTAGCATTTGTGGCATGAGCATAGGTTAGTGTGCAATCTCTTGCTGACAGAGATAGTACAGTTGCAGTTACTGCAATTTACGTGAGGATTGTCTTTGAAGTCTGCTCAGAAAGTTCAGTTCATGCTAAATGCGTCAGTTAGGTTATGCACTTGGACAAGCCTTATGGAACATATCTTGCCAGTGTTGAAAGAACTCCTCTGGTTTCTGGGCACAATTCAGAGTCTTATTTCTGCTGTGATACTGATTTTTAATTAGAAGTTCCTTTGGAGTTTTTAAAAATTGAAAATCACATTTGAACTATCTTAACTAAATTAATATACCTACTGTCTTCATAGGAGAATAAAAAGGGAGAGATAAAGATAAATGTATGTCATGTTTTAAAACGGAGAAACTATTCATAATTCTAGTTTTTCCTTTATACATTTATTTAGATGACTAGTGCCCTCTTCAGGCAGCTCTGTAAATTTAAACTAATTTAAAATTAACCTTCTTAAATTGGAGATAGCATCTGCAGGGCTTATTTTATCTGACTGGTCTGCCGCATCTGTCTTCCAGTTAGTATAATCCTATGCTACTGCTCATTGGATGGTTTTTCAAGGCAGAGATAGGACAGTTCTTATGGAGATGTTTTAGTCGAATATGTTTGTTGACCTTGTGCTGAATATTCTTTTTATGAAGAGATGGACTTGTGCCATGTGTGCCTGAATATTAGACTTCAGATTAATTCAAATCTACACATTAAAAGAGCCTTTTGCAGTCAGGGTTCCCCAGAACCCTAGAGTCCCATGAAAGCTGTTGGGGGTTCTATGAGAAATTGTGAATACACATACATATAGTGCTTTTACATTCACACATGTGTATCTTTATAGTTAATTATAATGTAAACACACATGAGTTACTGCCTGAGTCTGCTTGAGATTCATGGGGAGCAGTCCACCAGCAATTCCATGCACCTAGCATTAAATGATCGCCCTTATTTCACAACCTTCTTGCACTCACACTCCACAATTTACAGACAGGCACTGGCCACAGGTGTAAAGGGGTGAGAAAGACTCCAGTCAGTGAGCAGTGGAAGATAGAAGTGGTAGGCAACCAGTGAAGCTTCCATGAGTAGAGGTAGTTTATCTCTAGGGCACAGTGCTGGGACAAAGAAGTAGAAGAGACTGCTGCCTTTGCACCTGACTGGTAGAGCCTTCCTGTAGGCAGATCGGGCTGTTCCTCTTTTAATCTGCAAAGCAATTCTTATGGAAAGGGTGGCAAGATGGTATGTTACATTAATAAATAACAACAATAGTGATAATAAAAATAAAACAAAATGTTGTGGTATTTGTGGACACATACGTTTTATTGAAGAATTCACAGACCTTGAAAGGTGTGTCAGATTCACCCTTCCCTAACATGATGCCCAAAATTCAACCCAGAATTCAGTATTAGTGCAGCAAGCAAACACACACACACACAGGTTTCACATTAAAGAAGTAAATTTTATTATTTATTTTAGTTTCAAAGTAACATCATCTTAGCTGATACTTTTGTTCATATTACTTTGATTTATCTTATGGTCTTTAGTAACCATACTATTCAACACTGTCAATAAATTTTTATGTTGTTTCATGTTATGCAGGGCTTCCCTGGGACATAAAATTTTTTCAAGGCTTCCTCCAAGGTAGAAATGTTGAGAGAAGCTGCATTAAAACAGTAAAATAGGCTGTGGCTAACAGAGCATTTTTTTTCTTTGTTTTTTTCCCTAGTAAAACCTCTGCCTCCACACAAACTCTTTCTCAACTCAGGAGAATTTTCCACAGTCCTGAAACTATCGTGGGAAGACCAATTCAATGAAAGTACAATGAAACTGAAATATAAAATTAAATACAAGACTATTGACAGTATAGACTGGATACAGGTAACATTACAACCATTATTTTGTCAATGCTTGTATATGACACTTTTTAAATAACAGTTATACTGCTGTTGTATGTATCCTAAATGCTGGATATCTTATTTATTGGAATGGCACCAGTTTAAATAACAGATTTCAGCTAAGCTTTCATGAGAAAGAGCCATAAAATAAGATAAAACAAGATCTTCGTTATAAAATCTAACAAAACTATTGAAAACTGTTACTATGCTAGGTAAAAAAGTAGCTTCTTTGGAGAATAAACTATTATCTCCTTGGATGATTTCAAAGAGTGTGTGCATCCCTGTCTGAATAATTAATACACCCCCTATTGTTAAAATTCCATAACTGATAGCAAAATATCTCTCAATGTTCCCTCTGGCAAGGAGAATTGGAAAACTATGCAAAAGTTATGTAGTTTCAGGAGGAGTTCTTCTGACTACATGCCCCTATCTGGCGTATTCTTGGCCAGAGTGCAAACTTACTTTAACTCTGCCACTGCTACTACCCCGTCTGAATTTAGGCTACTTTCTAGACTGCTACAATCCCCCCACCAACCCAGCATGAGTATTTGGACACAGATATGCTGCAAGACCTCATCTCCCTCTCTTTCTTTCTCTCCATGCCAGTCCCATGTGTAGTGAAGTCAATGTTACTTTGCATTTTTATTTTAGAAAAGAAAAAGTCTGCTGGGATCAGGCCTTGGGAAAGAAGGTGTCCTAGTTGCTGACAGAACTATTGAGACTCATAGTATGAACTGACTGGAAGTGTAGATACCTGTTTGAAACTAGTGCTGGGCTATGGTATTTGGCCCATTCAAGCTTTGTAGGATTCAAGGAATGGGTGGGGTGCGTTCCAAAAATTGTATTCATCTTTCTTACTGTATGAGGAAGACATCCACCTTATGAGGTGTCTGAGGGCTTTTTTGTTTCCTTAAGAAAAGAACAGAATGGACAGGATTCCTTTAAAAGAATAATGGTACATTACACCCTAGTGTTGTTCCCAGGCCATTCAAAGAGTAGGGAGATGGTAGCTTCATTAGTCATTTGGAGCAGCAGCAAGACTTTTTTACTTGTTACAAAGAGGAGAAAAATCTCTTAACCAATTTGTAAGGCAAGACAAATGTTTTGAAACCCTCATTATTACCAATTTTGTCACCTGCTTTTGCAGGGGCAAAAGGTACTATAAAAAGGGATGATGGCAGGAATTGGACAGTTACTCCTGAAATTTAACAGTATTCCATCACTATTGTAAAATGAACAAATGTTGTAACAAAAAGCAATATAGAACTCAGGTGACGGACTAATGGTCTTGGCTTCCTCTTGCCCTGTAAAGTGTCCTGTTGTATATGTTATTTCAAATTTTGTCTCAGGGAAGATACTGGTATAACTAAAACTAGAACAAACAGCCAAACAGTAACTAGAAAACAGTGGGGTTTTGAATTTAAGACCTGCATGTCATTCAGCATGAGCCTAAATTTCATGTTTTCTGTTAATGAAGGGTATGTTCAAGCTGTATTTATTCTGTTGACCATTCAGAAAATGCTTTCAGAACTAATGATTTCTAAGGACTGTAAACCTATGAACAATTTTCTGAGGGTAAGATCCAGTGGAAATGGTGATGTTCAGAATTAAACATGTTTTCACTAAAATCTATCCTTAAAAAAATAAATCTGAAAGTAATGGTAAAGGATGTTTCCCCTCCAGTCATAAGAAACATGGAGGTCTCAAGTAAGTTTTTAAAAATCAAATACTAATGAAATATTAGGAAGGTTATCATACCCTCCGTACTTCTAGCTATGGTGTGCAGAAAATCAGGCGTGTATTAGCAAAATAAATGTGCTAAAGGGGGAAATTATGTTAGTATTCTGATTTCCATTTTTAGATTTACCTGTCTGCCTCTGTGCCTTTTTCATTCACTAGTAGCACTTCCTAAAGTCCCATATCATGTTCACAGGTTCCTCCTGAAGACACAGCCTCACCGAGATCATCCTTCATTATCCAGGAACTTAGGCCAAACACAAAATATATGTTTAAAGTGTGTTGTGCAGTTAAAAATTATTCAGGTTATTGGAGTAACTGGAGTGAAGAAGTAGTTGGGTTCACAGCTGAGGACAGTAAGTAACATTTAAAAGTCTCCAAAAGTCTCCAAGTATCAAGCAATCATAACTTGAGAAAGAAAGGCCTTAACCAACTTAAGAAAGGCCTTGAATCAAACCAACAGCCTAGCTAGGACATTGCTGTATTTCCACTGCAAGTAGAACATAAATGCAAGAGCAACTTTCCTTTTGTTTTCCTGGCAACTGCCTCTCATACTCGAAGTAATATATATCCCTGGTGATGAATGATAACTGTTTCCTCCGTTAATTTTTTAAATCCCCTTTTAAAGCTGCCCAAGTTGTGGCCATCCCAGTACTTTGTGCTGGTCATTTCCATAGCTAAGCTAACTGCTGCATAAAGTATTCCATCTTATCTATCCTGAATCACCCTCTGTTGAGTTTCATTGTGTGACGAGGTTCTAGTATTATGAGAGTAGAAGAGAAAATTTGCCCCGTTCCTTTTGTTTATCTGTTTTATATCCTACCTTTTCAGTAAAAGTACACTAAAAGCTTTTAACTTTAGAATCCTGGCTAAATGCAAAATTTAATTAAAACATAGCACAAAATGAAACCTACTGAATAGTTATTCCAGCTTGAATTCTACAGAATTTTTGTAGAGCCTCATCCAAGATGAAGGCTCAGTAGTTTTGCTATCATCCATGGAAGCAGCCAAACTAGTTGGGGAAAGGTCTGCTTCCATTTCATTTCAGGGGCCATCTGTCCAGTTTTCAGTTGAAAGCACCAAAAAGTGGGGGGAGGGGCTCTGGGGGCAAGTAAATCAGGTGCACCAAAATGGAAGAGGGACGGTTTCTCCTCTTTGGCAATGTCATCCTGTAGCTGTTAAGCATTGGACCAACAATTCTCAACACGCACACTTTTTTCAGCACTTCATGTTTTGTAATCTTGTTGGGTACTATTGACTACAATACCATTTTTAGTTATATTGAGGATAGTGGGTAATTATCTTTAGCAAAAATAATGCTAATATTGTTTTCTGATCCTGTGCATTTCTTTCTCATAAGAAATGGAAAGGACAGTTTATGGGCTAAGTATCTGTGGATGAGATAAATAATTAATATATTTAAACAGCATTTATCAAATCATATTGACACATGGCACATAATGATCTAGTTTGCTCCTGGGTTAAATAACAGTCATGCATTTCCACTTCTGCTTCATGATCCATGATGGGCATGTTTGAGTTTGTTGTTGGGTTAACTGAAAAGCTGTTTAGTTCCTAAACAACCTTGAAGTCTGGGTTGTGATTTCACTCTCTACAGCTACAAAGGAGCCTATCATAAGTTTTAGTATAAAAACAGAAATGGTGGGTGCACTGCAGGCAGTGATTCCCTTATACCCCAAAGTCCCATTTTTTATTTAACCAGTGAGTTGTCATGTATTGTTTTCCATAGCTGTGGTCATTTCAGCAGAAGTAGAACTGTTCCCAAAGTTAACATGTTTGCTGACACACCACATTCCAATTCAGACCTAATTGTAGTTGAGGACTATCTTGAGCATAGAATCATGGATGACTGACCCAAGTTATGATCCTCTTCTTCCCATACTGTCAAGTTGTGTTTGATCCCATGCTGTCTAGAAGGTTAAAAAGGTAGATTTGCGGGATCTCTGTAATAAAGTATGTGTAAATATAGATACACAAGTACTTTTTTAATATAGTGTTTGTGCATTCAAGAAAATTGAGCAGTAGGCTGTTTAAAAATCAGAGAGATTTTTGTTTTTCTTCAGAACCATCTAAAGGACCAGCTGTGTGGCGGAAGATTAGTACTGTTAACTCATCAAGGAACTGGACTCTAGTTTTGATCTGGAAGGTTGGTATCAAAAATTTCCCAGGCCAAATCTGGATTTCTGGTGTTTTCACCAATATATCACTCAAAGAGTTACTGATTGATTATCAATGATCATGTTATAAAAACAGAACTCTGGCACAGTAATTGATGCATCTATTATAAACACTACTTCTAGGGCTATAACATACCACACCTGGATAGAGTCAAGTGTTTTAAAATAAACATACTTAGCATATGATATAAATAATTTGCACATGTATTAGTTGCTGTGTTTCTTTAAAGTACATGAGGAAGGGAATCCAACTAATTCTGTCTGGATAGTTCAATGAATCAAAGTTAAAAGTAGTAAGTGCATGTACCATTCACTGAAGGTGCATTGCACATGAACATTGTGCTGTGGTCACAGAGTTCTGTAAAATGATGCTTGAGAATTATCTGTAATGCTTAAATTATGGGGTAAAATGGTCACTTTCAAGTGAAGTCACTTACTCTCATGTGGCGAAGTGATAACTTAAGAGGCCTCATCGCCACAAGTTATAAGATAGTGTATGCTTGTTATATGCTGGATGAGGGGCATGACTTAATCTTTAGCTTGACTACAGGTCACGACACTTTGGTCAACTAAATTTACTAAAAGATTCAATAAACAGCAGATACTACTTGCTTTCTCTGTGAGGCCATGCACTGACAGATCACACATTCCTGCTGGACTGACAAAAGAACTTGATGCCATTTTTAACAGATTGGTACCATAATATGTAATTGTATAGATTAAGACATTAGCATTCAAATCCTGTGCCTTCCATTTGAGAATAAGAACCTGCAAATAATTTTGTATTCCTTGAATCCTCTTCCAGTGAACCAATTATTAGTGGCTTAATTGTTGTTCAGTTATTTTTTACAAATTATATTTTGCTCCATCACAAAGGAATTCAGAGCAGTATTTTAGGCTCAGAGAGGCTTGTCTGAGGGTGTGTTTTGCCCAGGTCCAGACATAGGTAGGTGGGAATTTTGAACCAGTTGCTTGCTTAGCTAAACAGTTAAGCACCTGCTTTGCATGCAGAAGGTCACAAGTTTAATCCATGGCAATCCAGTTGTAAAAGGATTGGAGAAACATGTCTGGTTTAGACCTTGGTGAACTGTTGCTAGTTTGGATTAGACAGATCTAGGTTCGGTGTGCCAGAAGTCTCACTGCATAGAGCAATTTCCTAATCTGCACTCCTAAGCTCTGTTTTTTAAAAATCTTTTTTTGAACAGGAATTGAGTAATTCTGAAGCCAATGGAATAATTTTGAGATATGAAGTATCCATTGCAGGAAGGCCTCCGCTTTTATTTCCAACTGAATTTTACATTGTGAATACCACCCAGCTGTCCCTAAATGTACAAAATGGAACATACGAAGTAAGAGTTGCAGCCTATAACAAAGTTGGTAAATCTCCTTCATCAGTTTTGCTTATCCCAGCAATCAACTCAAAAGGTACATCTTGCTGCATAATGTCATAAGTGTCTAGTATATGTCCAGTTTTTCTAAGTTTTAAATCTCTTGCTTTTTAAATTTCTTTGTTTTCCAACTTTGCATTTAACATCCTTCTTTTGCTAAAATATAAATGATTACACTGTAGCTGGTATTTTTGTGGAATATTTCACTTTGCCCAAAATGATCTTTAGAGTATTTCTTCTGCCTTGTCCTGGCTACTTGTACTATTGTTTAGCCTTGGTACAAACCTGCTGATCACATGGTGCTATTAAAGCTGTTTTCTCTATGCTGACTTAGATTTTTGGTTCTTCAAGTGTTCTGTTGTGCCAGCTTTATATCTAGCAACTCAGCTGATAACCTGCCCATGGGCAACTAGAAATTCTGTGGAGATTAATTTATGTGTCCCATGCAATTATATTAGCACAGTGATAAGGGATGGATCACTTGGCTTCTGTGCTAGCTGCCCGGGAAAGGAGATCTACCATGGAAACAGAGAATTATATATTTATTTGTATTTCCCTATAATCCAGGTACTCTACAGGCTAGTTTGAATTCTTGATTCTAGCTGATATCTAAAAGCTTCTGACTTTTAAGTGCAATGTAGGCATTACATTTTAATTATAAATTAATTATAATGGGTAGAAAATGTCAGCTGCTGCAAACTGCAGCAAGGATTATATTTCTGTAGCACTACAGAACAATCTCCCTCCTTTTTAATAAATTGGGAGGCACTGCACAGTTCCTCCAGACCTCCTGTAATCAACAACCTCTGCTGAAAGTCTTCCTTTAAGGTATGTAGCACCACCTAGTAAAAACAGGATTCAGTACAAATTAGAACGTATTTTCTACTGAAATAATGCAATATTATATGGCTGTAGAAGTTAAAAGTCCCTGGAGATGACAGTCATGTTAGGGAAAGCCAGAGGCAGAATGAAAAAAGGAAGACCAAATATGAAATGGTTTGACTCCATAAAGGAAGCCCCAGCCATGAGTTTACAGGAGTTGAGCAGGGCTGTTATGGATAGAACATTTTGTGGGGCTTTCATTTATAGCATCCTAAGTTGGTGTCTACTTGAGGACACATAACAACAACAACAGAAATTCCATGCATTTGTTCAGATCTGTTAAATTCTTGCCTGTGCGCATGTTTTCAGCCAATGCAGCACAGCTTTCATTGTACTTGGCTTTAAGACATGAACATTTGAATTCTTCCTCTTGGGCTGTATGTCAAAATTACCTTGAAATGCATTTCTGTCTCTGCTACTGTCTTGGTCTGTGATTGTGGGCCTCTGATCAGGCTTAGTTAAAAACTTGTTGGAATGAAATAATACCTTTGAGGTAGATAGCTGTGTTCTAACTAAAACAGGACTTGTGTCTTTCACTTGATTTTTGCTACAGAATTGAGGAAAGTTTTAGTATGCTGGAATCTTTGAATTATGGCTGTCACTGAAATAAAAACTTTTGATGATGATTTTGGTCATTTCAGGTTCTGTAAAAAATGTTGCAGCATTTCCTAAGGATGGCAAACTCCGGGTAAATTGGACAGCTCCCAAAGAACCAGTTGACAAATACATAATTGAATGGTGTGAACAGTGCAACAACTTGACCTGTGTTACTGAATGGCAACAGGAACCTGGAACAAAACAGGGTGCATTTCTAAAAGGTAACTCTGGAGAGTTGTGGATATAGTACATTTGTGAAAATAGCTGAAGTTTCATACCCTAACAAGAGCTTGCTGAACAATAGAATTCCTTATTTATTTATATATTGCCATTTATATCCTGCCTTTTTCCTACAAAGGGCTCAAGGCAGGTTACATCATTCTTCTCCATCTTATCCCCACAACAACAACCCTGTGAGGTAGGTTGGGCTGAGAGTGTGTGACTGGCCCAAAGTCACCCAGTTGGCTGCATGGCCAAGTGGGGACTAGAACCCTGATCATCCGAGTCCCAGTCCCATGCTCTTAACCACTACACCACACTGGCTCTCCTTAGATGCATTGGAAGTTTAAAACTCATAAAATCAGCTCCTAGGATTTAAAATTGTAGTTTTATAATTCATTGAGAATATAAAAATAAATGTAAAGTATGTACTTATTTTTTTAATGTCTAAATTAGTCTATTTGCAAATTAGTTGCCTTTCAATAGGGATGAGTAGGGCGCAAGGCATGCATCATATAGGGGTTTTTTTCCTTTTGTCCAGCGTTGTTCCTCATCAGTGTATGCCATTCTTTGACAGTGATGTAGTCGTCAAAGAATTCACTCATAGTCGTGGGTTATTTGACCCATGATTTGTTGGATGCGAGTAGGAATAAATAACAGCCAAGATTAAATTTATAATTTGATCTTGAATTAGCCCTTATACACCCCATAAGATACAAATTTAGACATCACACTAAAAACTTATGAATGGTATAATCAAAGGTTGTTTAAAGAATTGAGAAGTAATGGCAGCCTGATAATATGCTAGCTAGAAAAACTGTGGCTTAATTAACTTGTTCCCTGTAAACCAGGTCATTGACTGAGCTTGTAATATCACAGAAGCCTGTGATTCTGAACTTCCAGAGCACAGGCTTTAGTAGAAATAAAGGCCTGATCCTCACAAATTAAAATTACATGTGCCAAGTACTAAGTACTTGAAGCAAACCTACAGAGTGTCAAGGCATCTGTGAGGGACTTCTTATGGTTAACAAACTGATTTGTGGAAGGTAATTATCTTCTGGCTAAATACCTGCTACATTGCAATGTGCTCGGGTGGTTGGAATGGATATGAAAATGAATCATAGGGTAATATCTAATAAATGTGTGTTAGAAGAGGCATTAGCCTCTGCCTGGCAGCTGGTGATGCAGCACGAAAGACATGAATTGCATGAAAGCTATATATATATGAAGAGTTTGATTATTCCAAATACAAAACTTTGCATTTGGATATTCCATGCAGAAGCACAAAGCATTTGCACAATAACTTGCCTGTATGCCTTACAGCATCCAAGGTTGTTGTCAAGTTTATTTTAGAATAACTCCTGTGAAAATTATTTGAATTTCCCATTATTAAGGAAATTGATAGATTGAACTAATGTTAAAAGCAAAAAGGAATGCAAACTGATCTATTCCTTATATTTGGCTAAACTATGTAAAACCCAATTTAAAACTATTTCCTTAGGAAACATAAAGCCACACAAATGTTATACAATCACTGTGCATCCTCTGTATGCTAATGGTCAAGGAGAAGGAAGATCTACGCAAGCGTACCTTCAGCAGGGTGGTAAGTTCAAAGCACACATAATCAAGTTCCTCCCTTTTGCTGCAGTATGTTAATTGACATAGACTGGATTCACACAACATGGTAAACACTACAGTGGTTTATCATGTTACGCAATTCTGAACCAATTTCCCAGGTTGGCATGTTTGTGGACCAAAAACCACCTCAGCAGCAAATATATTGTTGTAGGGGTTGTACTCATGATGAGTTGCCATGTCCTCCAAACCCAAGCAACCCAAGTGGATTCAGGGAATTGAATGTGGAGCTCTTAGCAAGAACAACAAAGACATCCCTTACTGCTCATGCTCAGTGGCTCCTGGGTAGCCACCAGTGCCAGCTGCATCAAGATGCCCAACGGTGGTTTCCCCCCTCAGTCACAAGCTGTGTCAGTTTGCTGCATTTTCCCCCTTTTGGTTGATTTTTGCCTGAGTTGTATGACTGTATATGCCTCAGTCCAAGAGAAAACATCCAGGTCAGAACCCTTTTTTGAAAGGTCCCTTAAAGAGGCTGTGTGCTTTTTCATCTTTCAAGCAGCTAATGGTTTGGGAAAAAATGCAAATTGTATGTTGACCTGTGAAACAGTTGGGGTGCAAGGCAAGTGCGGGATCTTGCAGCAAAGGCATGTAAATCCTTGAACACCTTCTCTTTGCATACAAAGATCCCTCATTCTTTTGGTTTCTTTTGACAGCAGGGAGAAAACAATTTACAGCCTTTAATATTAAACCTTTAATATTCAAACCTGAAGTATTTTTTTAATTAGGCATCATTCCTGGTGACTTTGATAAACAAAGTATATATTTGATCCAGGGCATCACTCTTACCAAGCCTTCAAATCCCTGCAGTTGTGTAACTGCACCTAGAAAACAAAGCCTCTCCCTGAAAAAAAGCTTTTTTTTTCTTTTTTTTTTCTTTTTCTTTTTTGGCTTCAAAAATCTTTTTTAAGATTTTGCCAGCCACTGGAAGCCCCTTTAAGGTGCCACTGGGGCACTTTGATGGGATTGACATTGGCTTTCAAAACAGGGATCACAAAAGCTGGCTATTGAGCCAGCTTTCACGGTCAACAAATGTGTGGGGTCGGAGGAGGGGACCCACAGTGATCCAGAATGGGTTATGATTGTCTCAGGGAGGGAAGAGACAAGCGAGTTCTTCTGTGTTGTTCCCTGAGGTACGCAGGGGAGGGAGGAGGCTAGCATGCAGTAAATCTTGGCTTATTGCCTGGGGAGTTGGCATCTGAACTTTTTAGGCATTTAAACAGTAACACCAACCTTCTGGGAGCTGCCTTGTTTCTTCAGACATTAAAAAAGAAACTTTTTGTTAATAGTGCCCGCTAGTGGACCCACAGTTCGAACAAAGAAGGTTGGAAAATCTGAAGCCATTTTAGAATGGAAACCACTTTCCATGGAAGAGCAGAATGGGTTTATTCAATACTACACTATAACTTATAAAACAATGACTGGAAATGAAACAGGTAATTGTGTCTTTGTTTATATATATGATTAAATAGCACCATAGTGAAGGCTTTTTAAAAGCCCTAAATAGCTCTTCTATATTTAAGACATGTTGTGTAGTCATACATTTATGCCTGCAATAGTATCATAATGCTTTCTAGCTTTCGAGTACTCTCACCCTCCATGGAGTTCTGCTGTGTCATATTTCTAAGAATTAAACAGAACTTATTCCTTTCTTCTCTGAAACTAGTCCCTTTGAATGTGACTTATAACCTTAGAAGGAGAAGTAAGTATAGTCCCAAGTGAAGCTTGGCTTCTTCCAGCACTAAGGATCACCTTAGTTTGGTGATAGCTAGGATGCTTTTAACTATTTCCTTGAAAATAGTTATTTCCTTGAAAACAAAATGACCTTCCCACTTCATAATGTAATAACTTGTCAAGAATGCACAGAATGCCTCCTGAGCATTCATTCATGGGGGATTCATTATACTTTGAAGCATTGCTTTTATCTTGTTTGTTTGTTATGATATTTTAGTTGTATAATTGAATTTAATGTTACCTGTCGGCATTTTTATTGTAATGGCTGCCCAGACCACATGATGCTAATGGGCAACTTTTAAACAAATCTGATAAATAACTTGAAGCTGCTGAATTCTTTCAGCCTTTAGTACACAAGACCAGAGCCTCATTTTGAGCATTAAATGGCATAGCGCCTACATCTTCTTAGACATGTTCTTTATCACAGTCTCCAAAAAAATGGATGGAAGTTAGAAACATAGGTTGTTTTGTATTCTTAATAAATTTAAATGATGGTTAAACACTTCCAAGTAGATTTCCCTTACAACTCTGTTGTGTTGCGCCCCCGAGAGCCCAGCTTTCTCGTGCTCACTGAGCTTCTTTCCCATACTTGGTCTTGCCCCAGAAAGTGACCTGAGTCAAGAGCAAGTGGACAAACATTGAGGAACACTGGCGGGCCCCTTCACTGCACAACCTTTGGCAGTGCTGGATGGGTAGTCCTACAGCTGCCCACAGACACAGCAAGTAACAAGTGTGCAAACGAACTCTGCTTGTACAGCAGGGATACTAGTGGCTCGTATACAAGTTGGCCTCATGAGTGAAAGCTGCTGATGTGCATCTGTAATATGCTGTAACACTTGCGTCCTGCCAGATGCCCAAGCAGAGACTCAGCTAGGAAACACCAAGAGGGGCTTAGGGCAGTGAGCAGCAGACTGGAATCCAGGGAGTTGAACCAAGGGAGTTCAGTGTATTCCTACCCCCAAACTGGAGTCCTCGTACACCTCTAGTTACCACCTTCAAGTAGTATTTTGGTAATACTGCTCATTACATACAATTGTGATTGAAATGATAGTGCTGGTTAAAATCTATTCAGATCTTACTAAGCCTGCAGATTTTCATTTTAATTGTGAAAGTTGGAATTGTGAGAGTTGAAAAAGTTGTTTAATATGGATTTAACACAGTACAGATGCTCACAAACTTTGAATAATGTGCATTGAATAAATGGGATTTTTTTACTTCTAGTTGTAAATGTGGACCCTTCTAGAACAGAGTACGCACTGTCTTCCTTATCAAGTGACACTTTATATATGGTACAGATGTCAGCATACACAGAAAAGGGAGGGAAAAGTGGGCCTGCTTTTACATTTACTACAAATAAATTTGGTAAGTTTTTACACAAATGTTCCAATATTTAAAAGGTTTGACTTGTGATCAAACATTTCAGAACTTCCATGGGAAATGCTGCTGCTTTTTAATGTACTGGAGGCATAGCTAAGTTCATTTCTAGCTTGTTCCCAGGTTTAGTGGTTTGAGACTGTGTTGCGAACATGGTGAGCCTAACTTGATTATCAGAACATAAGTCAAATCCATATTATAAGATGCTTTGGTAGCTTTGCATGTAGTCTGCACTTAGGAGGGGTCTTTTCAGGGACTACACTGAGACCTGGAAACTCTATCACAGGAAGCCTTTCTACCCAATTGTGAAAGGTGCTGGTGATGACCTTAAGGGCCTGTTTACCTCAAGGGAGTGTCTCCTTCCATATGTGCCTGCCTGTCCCTTAAGATCTGGGGCAGAGGCCCTTCTCTGGGAGCCTTCCTTGAAGGAAAGTAGGAGTGTGACTCTCCGGAGAAGGGCCTTCTCTGTGGTGGTACCCTGATTGTGGAGTACACTCCCCAGAGAGGTTTGCCTGGCACTGTCACTGTTTTCTCTTTGGCACCAGGCTAAAACCTTTTTATTTTCCCATTGTTTTAAGGTTTGACTGTTTTTAATATGGGTTTTATTGTTTATTGGTTAAGAATTTGCCTAGGATGCTGTGTTTTATTCTGTTTTGTCTTACTGTTCAACTATCCCAAGACTATGGTAAGGAATGGTCTTAAAAAGTTTTAAATATAAATAAATAAATACTTTCCATCCCCTAATTATGACCTTTCATTGGCAAGAGAAACAATTTTTATTTATTTAAATTTGCTTTTGCCCACTGAATTTATCTTCAAAAAGAAGTCTTCAAAAAGCTTCTGCACTTTTATATTTCATAAATATATTTTATATATATATATTTGTCAATGGCATTAAAAAGGCGGTATGACGCTAGGGAAAAAGCATCGCAAAGGAAGGTGACTATGTAGAAAAGTGATATAATTTGTTTTTGAAATTCTTAATAGAGTATTAAAAAGTATGGACACTTTTTGAAGAACCCTCATATTTGTTTGGTTCTGTGTTGCTTGCTTTTCTATTTTAATCTATATTTTAAGTTTTTAATTTTCTGAATTTTTTAATATTCTCCTGCCTGATATTTGTATTGTGCTTGCTTATCCTGTATTATGCACTAGGAGTGTGTGCATGCATGCGTGCGAGTGAGAGAGAGCGAAAGCGACTAAGCGATCTTCTCTTTGGGTATTTTTAAAAATAAAAATGCAGGTTAAACATAACCAAGAAGGTATAGAGGGTTTTCTCACATTACTATGCCTTAAACATCATCTTGATCATTTAAATATTGTTTTCAAACAAAAAGAAGCAAAGTTGGCTTTTGCAGGAACTGTCTTACTGCCATAGTTCCATTTGCATTTCAAACATTTTTAAATGAGTGTTGCTAAGCACGCCATTATAAAGCATTTGAAGACAGCTTGCTACTTTCCTTTTGTGTATCTTTTAGGAGAAGGAGAAATTGAAGCAATAGTTGTTCCTGTTTGCCTAGGATTCCTACTGTTTACCCTCTTCGGTGTATTATTTTGCTTCCACAAACGAGATATGTAAGTATCTTTCACACAGTATATTGCACAAAATGCTGTATTATATTTGAAAGAGGCAGTGGGTAGAGGTCACACACACAAACAGCATAAACCTGGAATCGTTGAATAGTAGTGGCTGTACAGAAAAAGTTTGGTAAATAACATCCACTCTTCTTCTTTTCCAGAAAAAAAAGTGTCTCTTTCAGCTCTAAGAAGGGTCCCTGTAGTGTAGCCCACAACTTTAAAGTACATGAAGTAAAAAAGCAGTTACACTGCAAAACAAGAGAATAGTAAAACAAGCTGATTAACTGTCAGGTAGCAATGAAAATAGCTCAGCATCCTGGAGGAATACCCGAGCCTTAGCCACCTGCCTAAATATTCTTGTCTAACCCCTCTTGGCAAGGACTGTGCCAGTTGGGGTGCTGCAGCCTGGCAGGCCTTGCCCCACACTGCAGCCAGGCTTCCATCTGCCCTAGCCAGTATAGCCAGTTGTAAGGAAGGGAATGGAGAGTGTTGTAGGCCAAAATATCTGGATAGCCACAAGTTCTGGCCTCTGTAGTAGAAGGAAAGTTCAGTGCACATCTTCCCTTGCTTATTCTACCCTGCAACAGCAATAGCCTCCAGACAGAGGTGATTTCACTGCTTAGGGCAGGAGACTGGAAGTGGTTTTCCAGATCCAACAAGAGCTCTAGAGGATCTGCTACCACTTTCCTGTCTATCTGCCTGGTGTGACCAGGTTTCAGTTGTTTATATAAAGCGAAATTCAGAGAGAAGTTAGGTATCTGTGTATAGTGTGTGATAGGATAATAGTCCTTAGTTTAAACTTTTTAACCATGGCAAAATAAACCAAATCTTTAAAATGCAGCAGAGCATAAGTATTATACAAGTAGGCAGAGAGTTCCAGTAGGTTCATGTGTTCACAGTGCAATGATTTCTCTCTTTCTATCTTTTGCTAGCATCAAGAAGCACATCTGGCCTAATGTGCCTGACCCTTCAAAGAGTGTAATCGCCCAGTGGTCGCCACAGATAACATCTAAGGTAGCAATCATTTAAAAAGTATTCTGAACTGCTTTTCTACCCGTATGGCAGTGATGTATGATTATAAGTTTGATTAGCAAAGAGCTAGACAGAAAAGGGAAGTGTAATGGGCTAGAAATTCCAAGACTGTCTCGTTGAAGTGAGTATCAACCATTTTTTGGATGTGGAAAGGTGTCCAAGCCCTAAGAAATGATCTTACAAATGACATATTGGACTGACACTTTGGACTAACAATGTTGCTTAATTTTAATGCTTTGAAGCTAGAGAACTGGGTATCCATATATAGAGATGATAAAATTTAATTCAGAAGCTACATCTACAAAAAGTAGTATTGCAAGAGAAAATCTGAATGGAGGCTTATACCACACTTGTTGTTTAAAGATAAAAGCAGAAACAATATCCAGTTAGTTCTGAGCCCTGGCACCTTTCAGTGTATGGACACAAGAATTACTGTGAGTGTTTTAGTAGCTAGCACATTGGATGCAGAGCATCCAGCAGGAGTAGTTCCTCGGTGGGTATTTCCTTAGGATAATCCTGTTTGGGGGAAAGGATGGGCAGTTAGTGGCAACTGCCACCTCTTCTAACATCATGTCTCCCAGTGTTCAAATAGAGGTGATCAAAAGTAGACCTCTTGAGTGTTGGCCATAATGGGTGGGGCTTCTGGAAGCTGAAATCCAAAATATCTGGAGATTTAAGTTCTGCCCACTTATTCTAGAGGCTGCTCCAACTTTGGAGGAGGCATAGAGGGCTCCACAAGATGGGGGGAATCGGGGGGGGGGAATCAGGGGAGGGTACTCCCCCCAATTTTGTCAATGTAAAATTCTGCACGTTCAAAAATCTTCCATAGAGCTCTTGCATTCCAAAAGGCTCAATGCCCAAGACTTTTACTATATGTAAGAACAGAAGAAGTGAATATAATAGTGACATGTAAAAACCAGCTAAAATGATAGAAAATCAATTTAAAGCATTAAAATGCAAGAACAATGTTTGTAATTATTGCAAAGAATATTAGTGTGTTGAATAAAAAATTGTGTAGAGAATCTTGTGCAAAGAATAATGCAAGTATAGCAGAAGCTCTACAATGAAGTATGCATATGAAATGTTTAATTCCTAATAATACATCTAGATTTAGGTAGGATATATGGGGTAAAGCTGAAAGACCAAGTAGCTACTGTCTTGGTTCAGTTGTGGCACATGCTGAGTGGCTTTTAAACATCCAAACTGCAATTGTAGCTTGTTGTGTGATCTGAATAGAGTGACATGGGGGGAGGGGTAGAATGTGTGAGGGCTGAATAATAGTCACATAATGCAGGGCATTTAGGGTTACGTGAGGCCTTGCAGAACCCACCTTTGCCAGGTGGCAGTTGCCACACAGGTGGACCACAGTCTACTATTCCTTAATAAGCCACAGTGGACTGTTAGAGTGTGCAAAGCAACCCACTGTGTCAATTCATCATTCAAGAAGCTTGAATTCCTAGAAGCAAGGATTGCCGAGTATATTGCAAGGACAGTGCAATCCAATATTGATTTTATTCAAAATTAAATTGCATCACAACTAACAACAAACATTTTTGTGTTACTTTTTTTAGAATTTTAATTCCAAAGAACACATATATCCGGAAGGCAGCTTTACTGATGTCAGCGTGGTAGAAATTGAAGCTGATGACAAGAATTCTCTTCCTGATCAGGATCTGAAGCATTTTGACTTGCCTAAAAAGGAAAAAAATGCCTCAGAAGGTCACAGTAGTGGTATAGGAGGATCATCTTGTATGTCGTCTCCTCGGCAAAGTGTTTCTGATAGCGATGAAGGTGAACCTGTTCAAAACACTTCCAGCACTGTGCAGTATTCAACTGTAGTACCCAGTGGCTACCGGGACCAGATACCTTCAGTGCAAGTCTTTTCTAGGTCTGAGTCTACCCAACCTCTGTTAGACTTGGAAGAGAGGCCAGAAGACCAGCAACTGCTAGGAACTGAAAACTTGACATTGAGGCAACGCTATTTCAAACAGAATGGTAACTGGGATGACAGAGTTAATGATGGGCCCCATTTGGAAAATAGAAAACAGATTTCTCCAATAAATGAGGAAGATACTGCTGGACATCAAGCCTCACAAATGTGTGGCTCTGGCACTGAAAGAGATGAGCAAGGAGTTACCTTAGCAGGTGTTTTCCATCCAAGCCCTGAGGGACCAGCCTTGCAGATTGAAACCATGAGAATAAATACAATGACAGATGAGGAGATACCAAAGTCTTATCTACCACAGACTGTAAGACAGGGTGGTTATATGCCGCAGTGAAAAGGAAGAGACCACTTCCTGCCAGATACTGTTACAGCGTTGATTCTGCTACGTTAAACTATTGTTTTTAAATCTTGCTTCAGAAAAAAAATCAGGTTCATATATGAACAGGAATGTGGGCAATGTGCATTTGGGAACTTAGAGCAGAACTTAGAACTTAAGTTGGAAGTTTCAAGACATGTTGTGGAAATATTTCTTCAAGCACTACATTTCACTCAGTTAAGCAGACGAATCTGTTGCCTTTCATTTTTGTCTTGGGATATCCACCTCATTTGAATGTGGAATAGAAGACAACCCTCACTTTACTAATTGATAAAAGCAAAGAAATGACAACTGACTGTGAATACCTCTCTTGACTATGATGAAATTAATGCCTAAGCATTAGATAATTACATTGGCTTATGTCAGCTTTTCAAAAGTGGAAGTAGATTATTTTATCTTGCATGACTTACCTTTAAAAGTCATCCAGAGACCCAAACAACTGTCTCTTTCAGCCCAGACTTAAAACAGACACAATATTGGAAGGGGTCTAGCATATACCCTCATCAACTGACTGGAAAGGTTCCATTCATTTGGGGTTTTCTGCCATCCAGTGTTCTGACCTTGTCAGTAAAAAAACTAAAAGTAAAATATTTATTATCTATTTGAACCATGACTATGCTATTACTACTTAACTCTGAAAGCCAGTATTTCATACTTTTTGTCATGCAGTTTGAGCCAAATCTATTAAAATTTTAAACAATGTATTTAGAACTCAAACATGTCAGAAAAAATCAATGTGTGTGCTTATTTTTTTACTTTTTAACCAGATTAAACATGGATATAGTAAATATATTCTAATTAATATCATGTAATAAAGTTATAGGGAAAACATTAAAAGGGAATATCTGCTGCTCTTTTACTGATTTCAATACAAGGTTCTAGTATTCCCTGCTGCTACTGCTGTCATTTTAAATGCCTAGAGCGGTGCAACATCAGTGTGACCAATGATGTCCCTAAAGGACACCAGGAAGGGCTGTAGTTTTGGTACTTGGCATGGGCATTTTTTATCCCATGCAGGAAGAAAGATTGTCTCTAAGAACATTTCTTTCAGACCAGATCTATATTTATCATGAAGCCATCTGTGCTGACTGACTTTCTTTTGGTGAACTAACTCAATATAATCTCTCTTTCTATACTGCATGAGTAAGTTAAGGCTCTATTCTGAAGCGATGCAGAAACACTACAACTGTTTAATGAGAAATAAAGCTTCTTTTGATTTTATTGTCACCAGTTTAACAATGTGCAGTTAAGTTTGAATATATTTTGACATTTCAGTGGCCAGAGATAATCTTTTGCTTCCCAGGTTGTTGGCTGTAACTGGTGATTATAGAGAAGACTGGCCCATGAGACTTCGCTCAAAGGATAGCTGTAAATAACATTTAACATTTTCAGAAGTTTCTATCTATCAAACCATTCTTATTGCAGCAGTTTTCATAGATATTGATGGTGAATTGTGCTGTAACCTTGTTAGAATTCTGTTAAGATAGACTGACTCTTTACCTGCCTGTACCACCAGTCTTCTAAAATCAGTTTGCATGTATCACGGTAATAGTTTCACCCAGTGATTAGAAATGTAAAGAATGTTTACCTATTTAGTTAATAGTTGGCTGTTCTTCAGAAACCATTCAAGTGTGCCTTTATCTTTCCAAGGGTTTTGAGTTGTTATTCAAACATAAGCACTGGTGGTGCATAATTAAGCATTTGTGCCCTTGTAGCTCAGGGACAAAAGCTGGGTTTATTACAATCATAATATAGAGAGGAATGCTCATTCCTTGAAAGACCAAGATGTTGCCTCTATATGAAAAGGAATTTTTGTGGAATTTAAAATCTGGCCTCTTCTGTTGTCCTGAAACTATTGGAAGGGCTCTGTCTTTGATTATGAGAAACCAACATTTCCTAGATATTCAACATTCCTAATGTTGTAATGCATTTAACATTCTAGCTGTCAGTTCTTACCAAATATCCACTACTGTCTGAGCCCTATACAGAATGCATTTGAAGTCAGTTTTACAATCACCTTCATTCAGAAAATGTGCTGTATTTAACATATCATTTGCTTTGTGTATCTGGCTTAAAAGCCTTTTTGTCCTGGAGCAAGCTTAAGCTAATACATTCCTCACGACAAATAGCTTAATAATGCTCTTCAGTGGCAATTCCTATCCAGTGGCAGTGCTCATAGAAACTTTTCATATTTTCAGATTTGTCATTTTATATTCATAGAACACACCTATCTTTCTAGAATTGCTGTGTCAGTTTCAACATTGTTTGCTCCATCACCTTCCCTCACCAGTCTTTATGCAAGACTGAAACATGGTTGCATTGTCATTTGTTATGCTAAATGCCATATTTATTTACTTTAAGGTAGAGGTTCTCTATCAGCTCAGAACCTTATTAACTTATACAGCAAGACTGTTTATGTCTACCTGGACTCAATAAGTTCTTTTGAATTCTGAGGTAACTGCCTTAAAGCTGCAATCCTTTGCCACTTTATAGCTTATCAAAACCTGCTAAAATGGGAGGAATCTGGACTTAGTTTCTTACATATCACAACAAATAAACACAGGATAGATATGTGATTGATACAGGAAGCAGCTGTATTTGGTGTAGGTTTTTGAAACTTGTGACTTCGGTATAAAAGGGGGAAGGGCTCCCCTTAATGTCTTCTACATAAAGGGAGGTGAGTGGAAAGAGGGAAAATATTTCCAAGCAGAGTAGTGCTGATAACTTAAAGAGCCGTTTTATTTCTTCAACCTCATTCCTCAGATGGGAATTCAGTGCTCTTAGGTAAATGTCCATTTATGCAAAGGAAGGGAAGGTTAAGAATATTGTCTCAATGTAACCAATTAAGTTGCTCACTGACTCAGAAGGCTGTTCTTTAAGAAGGGAGCTGTAGAAGTACTTCCATGATGAGTGACAATTAAGGGCTAAAGGAACTGAAGATGGATTAGAAACGAAAGGTTAACGTCAACAACATTGAATTGAATTTGCCATTCCAATGCAAATGGCCAGATGCTGCTAATACCTTGCTAAAATATTTGATCCAGACCTAGGTCTAGAATATGGTGATAGCATGTCACCTAGTTAAGAGAACATTCAAAATCATTACTGGAATCTTTATGGTCCAAGGAATGGTTGAGAAGCAGAGGATTATACAGCGATGCAAATGAAGGAATAAGCATTAACAGTCAGTTCTGCAATATTGAAGATAACATTTCTGGGTCTTTTTGAGATTTCATCTGGTTAGGACATATTAAAAACTGAACTGTGACAACAAGAAAATATAGCACTGTGACTCTTGGACCTGATGATCAGATCACTTATATCCAAAAGGCACCTAGCTCTAGAATGAAATTTGTAAACTAAATGTTCATATATCGCCACGTTTCCCTGCAATTTATTTATTCCTAGCATGACACATTTCTCTGCAGTGAGAATGCCACAGTGTGGAAATTGCTTTCAAATGAAAAATGCTAAACCCAGCAGTTGAATCTCTGTTTTTAAACCAGAGTGCCTTTACGATCGGAGACAAAGTCAAAGTCATTTTCACTTTCTTAAGATATAGTTTCAAGCATTCTTCATGTTTTTTTCAGTGATACAGAGGTCAAAAAAGTCTATACAATTTTGTATATTTTGAATTTCAAATTAAATAGTTAAATATGGCACTGTGTGTGATGTATTAGCAGTTTTTAAATTACAGTATACAGAATGAAACATACTATGCATGTTTACTCAGAAGTAAATCAATTAATTGGATTTATATGCAAATGTACATAAGATAGTAGATTTAGTTTCATTTGAAGCAAATTGGGTCATTCAACTTTAATCCAGGGTAGCTCATGTCAAGGGCACAGATTGTGTGGGTTTGATGACATTCAAGAATATGTTGTCCTGTGCAACATCTTTTACTCCTCTAATGTTTCCTATACTTCGGCTATAGCCTCAAGTGATGGGGCAAGTAGTTTGAAAACATATGTTCTGCTAGCTTGGTTGATGCAGTAATAGCCAAAAACAGCTGTACATTATAATGGGAAATTTGATTTCAAAACATCTATGAAATCAGACGTTGACTATACTGCAGTCTAGTGATCTTTATATAAATACCTAACATTATTAGAGGTTTATAAACAATACTTCTGTTGTCAAGCAGTTATGGAAAAATTTCCTGTGTCTAGATTGCAATAACAGTAAGTTTCTCAGTTATGACAAGATCTGAAAGCTACCTTTGATTGTCCATTCAGAGTAATGCATCATGTCTATAGACCTTGCTTAAACCTTTGTCAGGGCTTGTCTATGCAACACCTGCTCATAACCACTCACATTTGGTTTTTAAACAGTTGTGCTATCTTCACCTGAACATGTATGCAGCTGCAAAATTTAAGTCCTCCTTATTGGCATAACATCCCTATGCATAAAGTTGTCTGTAAGGTTTTTGATCATTTCAGCTGTTTGACATAATTATTAGGAGGAGGGCTTTTTATTTTTTTAGCACATTAAAAAGTTAACAGATAAGCTTAACTGTAGCTTGATTGCTTACCATATAGCTGTCCTTCCTGTCACTGAACAGTACAGCTCTATGAATAATTTTCAGATGATGTTCCTGCATTGCTGCTGGTTAGTCGGCAGTATGAAGTCAACCTGAAACATAGACGAGCCCTTGGCCTACCTTGTGTGAAAATATTTGACAACCATCTTATTCCTTGTATATGTGCATGCTTGTTGTCATAGACGTGTTGTGAAAAGTACTGTTTGCATTTGTAGTTGCAACTTTCTGTGTCTGTCTCCAGTTTGCCATATGTGGATGTATATCACCGTTGTGTATGTTGCTTTTCTAGCCAGTTTAAAACAATTATAAAATCATTAAAAGTAGCACGCATCCTTTTGTTTCTCAGTGTTTGCCAATATTTTATTGGCAGTAAAGACAAATTAGAACCATGTGAATGTTTTAATGCTCTATTATGGGACATACACTAGAGACTGTAGGAAAGGACACAGTTCTATGCCAACTTGTACGTGGGTCAGGTATATGTCTAAAAGGTGAACAGCTGTTTGGACTCCACCTGCAAGAGATTTAAGATATGAAAAGAGGAAAAGACACTGTTTTTGAGCTTCTGACTTCACTTTGGAAAAATAACACCACCACCCCTTTTCTCATACCTCAAACATACTTATTTTTGAACTATTTCAAATTATTTTAGGGAAACTTTAATAATAGAATGATTTCAGGGAAGGTTACAAGATAAAAATGATATAATACAAAATAAATATAATTCAATAGTGTAAAAACATTGCCAATAAAAACCCTCAACACAAAGACCATAGAAAAGGCAATCCTCGTTCTAGAAACATGCAGAGAACTGACAAGAATGAATTCCAGACCTGGAAACCACCAGTAAGACAGCCTTGGAACACACCATCCTTGGCTGTGGGCTGGGGAGGAGCACAGCAGTTACAGACCTCAGAGGTCTGGCCAAGCTGGTACAGGAGGAGGTGGTCCTGTAGCTTAGGCCCAAAGTGTTTTAAGACTTGGACAGCACAACCCAGTGTGGCTGCCTGTAAACCACTGAACATTGTAGAGGATGAAAAAATGGACCCAAATGATCAGCAGTATTCAAACTACAGTGGTACCCCAGCTCACGAATGCCTCAGTTCATGACCAGATCAGGTGGCAAACAGAAATTTCAGAAAAAATTTGCCTGAGTTCGTAAACTTCAGTGGGTGACGACCACGATTGCGGCCATGTTGCCACGCAACCACCATTGCACCCGTCTTTGCAAAACCTCCACCTATCATTCTATGATTTGGCTAGATTTCCATGCTTTGCTTTTAAAGCGACCTTTTGGGCACTCATGATAAGTCTTTAAAGTCAGATGGGATGCAGGAGATTTGAACAGCTGAGCTTCAAGGTGGAAAGCAGTTATTCTTTAAGTGCATGTTTACATACAACCCCAGGTAGCATGTCCACTTCTACCCTGAAAAGGCTTGAAACACAAGATACAGCACAATGGCAATATTCCATGACGAGCAATATAAGCAGCTTTTTTTCTAAGTAGGCTCACATATTTAAATTATATATTTATACTGCATACTCTTCTGGCATCACTAGTGAAGAAAGGCAGCTAGAAAAGATTTATGTTAGGCAAATACTATTTTCAAGTTTTGCTACTTCCAAAGTATTTTTCCCTTTAAAATGTCATGTAAATCTTCTCCCTCATCACAAATTCCTACATTTTCATTTACAATGTATGCGTTGACATTTGTTTTTCCACACGTCGCCTATCTCAGCACTGCAACACACAATGCACTATCCAACCTAGGGGTGGGGAAACATGCTGAGCCTGGGAGCTGCATTGCCTCCCCATCCTTCTGGGCCAAAGGATGCCAAGAGGGGAGAGGTGGACAAGCTGGCCAACTCCCAGACCAAAGAAGAGTCCCACACATTTCAAAGTGCAAAACTTGGGAGAGGAGGAGCAGGAGAAACGATGGGATCTTCCTTCTGCCCCAACTCATTGCCCTGAAGTGATCTTCCCCTCTGCTTCTTAAGCTATTTCCATGGCTTCTATTTTTTTTTTTCTGATTGCAATTCTTCCGCATGACCATCATGCATCCTCCAATGGAGGGGTATTAAAACTCTTACCAGACAGGTGGACAAAGTGGGCTGGCTGGATGTAGGGCTGTTACACCTCCTTCAAACAACAGAAAAGAGCATTGAAAAACAAAGGAAATAGGGTGTAGGCAGCAGCAGGACTGGCACCTATAAAGAGTCCGTTTCTAGCAAGTTTAAATCTTTGGTCTGAGCTGATCTAGGGCAGGAGGAGGGATTTACAGGCAGAAAATCCATGTTTTTAAGCCAACTCCCACTGTGTACTTACAGAGCTACATAGCTGTGAATAACCACATGGTTTCCTTCTAAGCCTGCATTCTTCCAAAGCTGCAAAGGTGCAGTTACTGGAATGATTTAAAAAAGCAACCCAAAATAGTAGCAGAGCTCTCACCTCCTGCCTTTGCAGCACCGTGACTTGTGTTCACACTATAAACACAAATAGTAAAACATACTTTCGAGTTCATACTTTCTTCACAATTCAGATACTGTGCTCTGGTATATGGCATATCATCTTAGAAATGCAGAGGATACAGTGTTGTATTTACTAATGCACACCCACAGCGCAACCACTGCATTTGGAGGGAAAAACATCAGTGCCTTACAGCTGAGTCCCCAGTGCATGCCTTAACTATGTTGTGTTTGCGTCTGCTTACCAGACTGGATACTGAGCTGATACTGAGACTGTTCATAAGAGGTTGCTAAGAAAGTGCTCTGGCATTCCGGAGCAGTGGGGTGGTAGTGATAAGATTTTTAAAAATATATTTTGACCCTTTGGCTTAAAATAAAAGGTACACTTTGAGGTAGGCTATAGGGCAGAACAACAGGAAAAACTCAGAGTGCCACAACTCATGACAATGTCTCCTTTTGTTCAATTAAAGTTCACAATCCACCTTCTTCACTTTTGTTGATCTCTACTCTTTGTTCGGAAATGCAGAGCTGTCTGGAGAAGACAACATTTAATGCAAGTTATACTTCTTTGTTTCCGCTAGCAAACTGTAAAATGTAGCATCGACAGCTTGACAGCAGTTGAAACTATATGTAGTTCTTAAGAGGACTCTGTTAAGTTTAAATGAAGACGCAGCAAGGCTCACTTTGGATGGATAGCAGGACTGTGGAAGTGGAAAGCTTCTTGAAAGCAAGCTAATCAAAACAGGGGCATTTTAAGCACACTGAAATGCATTCGTATTTGGGAAGAGTTTAAATGTGTCCAGTGTCACATAAGACTGCTCTGCGCCGTTTGGTAAGCAAGAGGCCAAGGCACCAGGCTGGGTATTAGTGCCTTTTGTACTTCGGCCTGAGTTCTCAGACACCAGGAACTCCCTTGTATGGACTGAATTTTTCAAATATGGGTTGACACTAGTTTTCCCATTCAGATTTGACTGATCTTGAGCTTCCTCATTTTCAAAATCTTTGAAATCCATTTTCAGAGACTGAAGTGCTTGATTCCAAATATCATGCTCTAGAGAGAATGCTGGTAGAAAAGTTTGCATAGCTTTGTCTTCTCCACTGATCAAAATCTCATGGCTGCCAACCAGATCTTTTGCAGGATCGTTTGCCTGTTTAAGGATGTTTTTCTGATTCGGCAACTGCAATCCATCGTGTTCCTTGCTATGAACATTTGTATCCAAAAGACTGATGAGTGTGTCAGTGTCAGAGATAAAATTGTTCAGATCTGCTGCCTGCTGGGAGGGAAAAGGAAACTTCATACACCATATCACAAGCAATTATGCCTATCTTCACCAGTGAAAAATTAATATTTGTAATTTTAGTTGAGCAAGTTTCTAAGCTTTGAATTAGTATAAAAGCGTAAAATGTCCTTATGACTGCTTCTCTGTTGGAACCATGGGTATAAAAAACTGCAACCGGGTCTCCATAATAAAGAAAACTGAATTTTTGTCCATATACTCACATCACTTTCTTCAAAGTATGCTTTGGTGATGCGTGCAGCTCCTGTTTGTTTCCCAAGAGGGAAGCAAACAGCACGGCTGCATCATAATCAAGGGAAAGTCTGGCCTATTACATGCATGGATAATTATTTGCACCTATTTTACGATATGCATTTTCTCAGGTTCATTTGCTGAGCAAAAATTAGTTCTTACCAAAGGCAAATTATGTTCTACAGGATCTGTTATGACAGGATACGGTATCCGGGGCCAACAAATTCTTTTTATTCTGGAAAAACAAAAGCAAAAATATTAGCCAGTTAAGACAGATATTTAACATTAAGGAAAAGCTATTTTATTGAGTCAAAGCAAATCAATTTCCCTCCATGTCTTTTCTAAAATACGTACAGGCCGTCATCACTTGGCCATATGAATTGTCGGCTCAATAAGAGGATGCTTTTGTAATTGTGCCATACTTGTGGGCAGGTAGTTGGGCCTCTAAGTGAACAGAATGCAAAACTAGATGGTTCCTTGGTTTGATCCAACTTAGCTCTTCTTGCATTCTTGGCTCATTTCTCAGGTGCATTAATTATAATAGTTTACAATGGTTTTTTGTGCATCGTCATCATGTATCGTCCCCATACAGCTCATCCACACCCTTTTGCTTCAACTGCTATGCACCTTACTTCTACAGCTAGATCTTGATCCTGCATTTATTAGTTGTTTACTGTTATGTTTAAAACATAGAAATTGAGTGGATGCAAGTTTAAGTATCTGGAGAGGCAGACACTTCAACGTGTGTTGAGGTCATCCTACTGGTACAAGACTGCAGTTGGAGCAAGCAATAAGATTTTTTCAAGGTATGCTTCCATACACAGCTCTGCTTTGTTCGTATCCTCAGGTCTCAGGATTCTGCTTCTGAATGCCAGGTCGGTCCTGGAACGTATCTCTCTCATCCATCTAAGGTCATCTTCTTTGCCAAGGCATTTACCAACACCACATAGTACATGGTATGTTATTTTCTAGCAGGCCTAGTAGTATGGGCTGTTTTTCGTTGTTTAGTTGTTAAAATGTGATTTTAATTTTTAATGTAATTTGATTAGGTTTTACTTTTGCTTTATTTTATATGTTAACTGATGGCTAGTGGGCAGTATAGGAAAGGAGTTAATAAATAATAAGACAGGGATGCCTCACTTTCATTTTTTTAAAAAAGTTTACTTACGTCTGTCTTTTCAGACCCCACAACATCCCAATGGTTAGCAGACACAGAATGAACATTCCAGCAGCAACACCTATAAGAATAACATCTATCTCACCTACAGGAGGAGAACAGAGAAAATAATGTTAAAAATGTCAACACCCAAATATTTGGGATCCTCAGGCCCCAATGCCCATTCATGCACACATGTGATAAGTCACACTGAATTCATTGAGACTCATTCAGGTAGAATTGCATTTAAGACAACAGGCAAAGTTGCCAGCTGTTACCCAGCAGCCATTCCACCAGTCTGACGCAGGGGGAGAAGAAGGAGATAGGCCCATTCCATCGACTCGACAAGGAGACCAGCAATTTTTGCCCCCAATTTACTTCAGCCTGTTTCAGCTGGACATGCTGAGATGGCCAACAATTTCAAGTTGCATTACAGCTGGTCATTTTAAGAACAATATAAACTTAAGAAATAGTGTCTGAATTTATTTGTTTTCATTTTTATTCCTTTTATATCTTTTTAGATTCTTTTTAAACTGTTGCAAATCTAGCAGAAACAATTGGAAGAGAAATGTCAGTTCATAACAACATTAGTAAAAATCCAACAGCCATGCCTAAAATATATAAATTCATATTTAGCATACACATGAGTCTGACAACAATAACAGCTTTTCCCAAATAGAGGGTCACCAGTGGGTTTCAGGTGGGTCTCAGTGGACTATCTGCTCCTCTTTGCTTGACCATTTGAGCCAGAGTCAAACCACGTCCACTGCATAGGCAGGTGTGGCAATGAGATGTGGTTAATGAGCAAAGCTAATTGATGATGGCGCTGGTGACGATGACGACGACAACAGTGTAATAAAGAGGAAGAAGATAAGAGAGGAAAGCTGTTATAACAGAAGTAAGCATAAAAGCAGGAAAAGAAGAGATGAAACAAACTGACATTTGAGGGAGGGTACAAGTAAATTATGAAAGGAAAAGGGGAGAGAAAATAATAGCAGATGGTGGTCAGAATCCTCTCCGAGGCATGTGGAGAGAAGGAGAAAATCAATATTACATAAAATGTCCTCTCTCCTTACAGCAAGTAGATCAGCAAATTCGGACAAAATGAGGAGGCTGCATCTTTATAGAATACAGGTACAGTCTTGTTTGTATTGACCTGCCAGCTGCTCAGAAAGCCCTTCCAGGTAGAGACAATTGCCTTAAGTGAGTAAAGAAAATACATGTGAAAGCTTATCTTTAAATAAAAAACTGAATGACATACTAAATATTTTGGTGACAAAGGTGGTTGCTGTTCCATTCTTATTGCCATTAGCGGTGCTTGCCATAACCCAAACGGTGTACTTGGTGTTAGGCTGCAAGGACTTCAGTCGGTATTCTAGAGCACCAGCACTCATTGGTAAACCTAAGACAAAGGACAAATTGAGAATTAAGTGGTAATCTGATCCAGCATTTCAGGAGCCATGCAATAGGTCACAAATCCACACTGACTACCAAGATGCCACTGCTGTACAGAAGGCAATAAAGCTATATTGAACCAAGCGGAAAGTAGAAAAAGTAAGCAGGAAGTGAGCATAATACAAAGGCCACATTCACACAACACAGCAATCCACCCTACAAATAATATACAAAGTGTGGATTCTTCAGAGAACAACCCATAGTACATGCAACAGCTGATCAAGCTAACCTTAGGTTGTTCCATCCTCTTCCACCTTGTTTCCTCCCACAAGTACCCCAGGAATCTGCGTGGTGGAACCTGTCTTGTCCTTTCCTTGCATTGACTGCAACCCTTTTTGTGTTTCCTCCCCCCCCCCCCCCCCCCCACCACACACACACCCTTTTTTCAGATTGTTTTTGCAATCTCCACAGTGGCAACTCCTCCAAAGTACCTAAGCCGTATGCTGGAGCAGCAGTTACTGGTTTGCCAACTCTTTTTCTTCTGACACAAATCTGCTTAAATGCTTTCAGTATTTTTTAAAAGTTATCTTTTTTCTCTGTACTTCAGGGTTGCACAAGTGTGCAAGTCTAATTCTTACTTTGGACAGCTATCAGTGCTCCCATAAATGTGGTGGGCTGCACTTTTCCATTTTCCCAAGCACCTGAAGGCCCAGAAATGGGAGAAAAAGATGGAGAATACAGAGAAGTGATACACCCAAATTCTGGAAAATTTTGCTGTGAGGAAGGTGATGTATTCAACACACCTCTCCACAAGTTCTTGTCCCTTTGCTTTGCTCTTGGCAGCTCACTTTTTTGGCAGATGTCACATGAAAGCAAAGTAACATAGCTGAAGCTTAGCTTTGTCAGCTTCCTCTTAGCCCAAGTTTGACTTGATTTTTGTCCGGTTTTAATGAGAAAAGGCATCCATTTGCAGCCTTTTCTTTCAGGAAGACTGCAGTGTCAGCTAACAACTAACCTCATATCTGACTACATAATAAGGCATAGGTTCATATTTGCAATGCCTCCCTTCCACACTTCCACAATCATCTACTCCAGAATCTAATTGGTAGAGCGCATGATCTCAAGAACTGTATGTTGACATTATTGTAAAGCAATACATTTGGGGTGAAATATTCTTAAAAATAGTTTTTCAAAGTGTGACTCAGCAAGCCAGGAAAACTATTTTTTTAATGTACCCAAGAGTAATGACAAATCAGTTGGCAACACTAACTTTGGCACTAGGATTGGAAAAAAAAAAAACCTAAGGAAACAGGAGAGGTCCTGTGGAAGGAAAAGCATTTATTTCACACACGGACAAAGCATTAAGGCGGGCTCTCAAACTTCCCAGTATTATATGTCTGGATGGGGAAGGCAGAATATAAACCTGCTTCCAGACCAAAATACATACACCTTTGTATATGTGCCCTTTCCCTTTTAGTTATACGAAAAAATATAGATTAAAACAAATGATTTTCAGTTTTTAAAGTTGCCCTCTTTCCTGGCAGCAATCTATTCCTGCAAATGGAGACCACTTCATCCTAAAGAAGCATAGCACTAAAGTGAACAGCTCATAGCTTTTTATTTTTCTGCTTCATGCATATATACAAACCTAGTTCTTTTCCATTTTCAGCTTTATAAAATATAGTGTAGTTAACAGAAGAATTATTTATTTTTCTTTCTTCAATTTTCTCCCACTTTATGGTAGCCTCATTTTTACTGATGTTTTCTGCTTTAGCCGAAAGACCTGGTAAGACTAAATCATGTAGAGAAATAAAGCCAACAAACTATTTCAGAATGTCATTCCTTTGTAAAATCAATTAATCAACCAAAATTTCAGCTGTGTAGCTAACTACTGTGAGAAGATGGCCCAGCTGCTACAGGGCCAATGACTAACCCAGTATAGTCTTACCCTCCAGAAATTTGTCTATCCCCTTCCAAAACCATCCAAATTGGTGCTCATCATTCTGTCTTACAGTAGTGAATTCCATAATTCCATGCTCTTGAGAGAAAGGAACGTCAAGAACCTCAGATTTTCTTTAAAAAAAAAAGTGAACTACACTCGGGTACTCCCGGTCACTCATGAGCAAGTTTAGCCTGTTTCCCATTTGGTCAAAGCGTGCAGCATGGGGGTGTTTTCTGGCATTAGAGGAAGAATTCCTGAGTTGTCAAGAGCAAACAATCCAATCTCAGGTCTGAAATTAAGATAATGCTTAGTAATGAGGGGCAGGTAGTGCGTTTATTCCCTAGGTAGCTTGAGCAAAATAACCTTAAATAGGAATCTCATACTTACTCCAGGAGGGAATGGAAAGATCCTTAGTAACATTCATTTACAGCAAACAATTCTCCCTTTTAACCTAGTGGGATCAGGGGAAGGAGGTGATGGAGGGATGGTTCCTCCATTAGGGAGCAAAGTTTTGACATTTTAGATACATGCCCAAACATGCGTAGTGCAAGGTGGGCCCCTGACACTTTTCAACACAAAGGGAGGTGTAAGAAAAAAAGTGAGAACTGGCAGATGTTTCCAAACATTGGGGGAGGGGGAGAATTCTGGCTAAGTACATGGAGAATGCTTGAAAATGTGACAGGTAGGTCACACAAACTCATATTCATTCTTGTTGGGCAGATAACAATCGTCTGGCCAACAGTTACTACACCAAGATACTGACTGCCAAGTCATTCTCTGCTATTAAAAATGGTAGACAGGTTGGAGACTGCATGGACAGTAACTGAATTTACGCTGTTGGAAGGAGCAATATGTGCAGCATAGGTAAATATGCTGCAACAGAAAAATAGAAAATTGCATAGAGTTCCCTCCAGTGATAACATTCCCATCAGGCTATTTAGATCAGACTAAAACAGGCTGAATTCATTTTAAAGGTGTAAGCTCATACATACATTCATACATATCTATTTCAATGCAGGTTGGAGATTTTATTTCGCCTTTATGCAAGGGATATACCGAAATGTTGTAATATCTTGAGGAACTGAAGGCTTCTGAAAGAAAGTAGGCACAAAATATCAACACTCTTTCTCAATCCCAACCACATGCTGTATTATACATTCATGCAGCAGAACCTGGCCTTCCAACAGGGCTTGCTTGGCTTCGGGTCCTTCCCCGCATCATCTTCAGTGTTCTGGCTTCCACCATGAGCTAGCAGACCTAGGACTATGGGGAGGCTGCACTTCCCAAGAATGGCTTCGAGCCAAGGAGGAAACCAACCTGAGCTATCCATTGCACAGAAGAGGTGCTATTGCAGTATTTACTTTTCCTTCATCGCCAGAAAGAACACTCAGCTCCCATTGACAATTGCCCTGGGACCATAGGAATATAGTGAATGTACCCTCTGGCCCCATCCATTGACCTAATGAACAGCAGCAAGGGAGGATCAGTCTGGCCCAAGTGTATTCAAATGCTTGCCATCTTGTTCTGGCCTTCAAAAACTGGTTTTCATGCCCCTCTTTCTTTTCCCTCCACTCCCCTTCCCTTCCCTTGTCATTTCCATTTGCAAGCCTGTTAGCAGCCCCCTCTCCTACTCTCTTAATTGATGTCTAGTCCTTTTCCTCAGCTGTGCAATCTCAGCTGTTATAGACTTCCTGCACAAGAGAGTTGCTTCAACCCCTCAATCATGTTACCTGCTTTTTCTGCAGTTTTTAACACTCTGCAATATCTTCTTTTAGGTATGATGATCAGGACTTTATACTCTTAAGTGCAGTTGCGCCACAGATTTGTATAAGGAAAGTATGGCACTGGCCGTTTTCCTAATAATGCCTAATAATAACAGGGAGTTTGCCTTTTTTACGGCAGCCATACACTGGGTCGTCGATTTCAGCAGGCTGTTCACCACGGCCTTCCTTGTTCAGAGCAGTTACCGTCAGTTCAGAATCCACCAGCCTATACTCACACATGAGATTTTTTCTTCCAACATTTTTTATCACTTGCTTATATTGAACCGTATTTGCCATTTTGTTACCTGTTCTCCCAATTTGAAAAGATCATTTTGGACCTCCTCACAATCCATCTTGGTTTAACCACCCTAAGTAGTTCTGTTTTGTCAGCAAACCTGGCCACTTCACTGCTCACTCTTAATTCCAGATCATTGATAAATAAAGCACTGGTCTTAATAGAGATGTGGGATTCCACTCTTACCTCGCTCCATTGGAAGAAATTACAACTTTTTTTTTTTTTTTTTTGCTTTCTATTCTTTAACCATCCATCAAAGAGCCTCACCTCTTATTTCATGACCAAGTTTGCTCAGAGGCCTTTGATGAGGGACTTTGTCAAAAGACCTTTGGAAGTTCAAGAGTATTGCAGAAATCAGTAGCAAAATAAACAAGCAAAGTTGGAATACTGGCCATTAGGGAATTGTGACTTAATGATAAATTGATTCTAAAATGAATACCACCCTTCCTTCCAAACTGAACAGAGCTGACTCTCCCTTCAAGAAGGATCCTGCTGGGTAACAGCTGATCACTTGGAATGTTTGACAGTTCTCAACTGGTTTGGCTTCTTAGGCTGATGCAGTATTATTGGGCTGAAGGGCTGGATCTGATCTCTCCCATAACAGGTTGGACATCAGCATAACCAGCATCTTTGTGGCACTTCAGCCTTCCCTTCCTGTGTTCAAGGGCAAAAGACCTTCATATTTTTATGTGCCATCAAGTCATCTCTGACTTGCGGCAACCCTATGAATTAAAACCCTTCAAAATGTTCTATCCATGTCAGGCCTTCCTGAATTTTCCAAATTCAAGTCCCTGGCTTCCCTAATGGAGTCAGTCCGGCTCATATTTGGTCTTCCTGTTCTTCGTCTGCCTTTGCCTTTCCCTAGCATGATTGTTTTCTCCAGAGAGCTTTGCCTTTTCATGATGTGCTGAAGTATAACGGCATCAATCTTGCCACTTTTGCTTCTAAGGAACATTCTGGCAGCCTTCACATCTGTATTCCTTCTGTCTTCCACAAGATGCCTGTAATGCTCCAAGCTACAGAGTATCTGAACAAGAGTAATTAATTTGGGATCTTCTTCTACCGGGGTGTGGAAGTGGCAGGTTTTGAGGACTGGGGCACCACACTAGATTGTGCTGCTCGATGCAGAACCTGGGACCATGAAGTTTCAAGTGTGTCACACATGCCATTTCTAAGACCAGGTTCATGCAACCTGCTTGGCTGGGACATATTTATTTTATGTATAGCCTGCTTTTCTACAGTCTCTACATTTATAGGACTGCTAATATTCAATAGAAAGTATCTTGGCATAATGTCCATCTTCAGTCAGAGAAATTGGGATGAGCTTGGTGGAAGAAGAAATAAATGTATTATTATTTCATCTCTTTTGGTACCACCCAATAACAAGGCTCACTGAAAGGTTTGCAACAATACATACAAATTACAAAGCACAAATACAGAAAATACCATACCACTGAAAAAATATATACACAATTTTTTTAAAAAAATAAACAGCTAAATATAATTTCAATTAAAATATTGATGGGTTTAAAGGCAGCGATTAGATACAAGCAACCTTTAAAAATGCTTACCTTTTGGAGATGTCCATTTTGTGACATTGCCTATTTTCTGCCATGATCTCTCCATCCTATTATACCATTCCACAATATAACCATCTATTTCTAAATCGGTCGTTTCCCATGTCACAGACAACTGTTCCTTTAAGGCAGAAACATTCAGTCTAAAAATCCTTTGATGATCTAAGAGAATATTGCCCACATTAACAAGAATGACTTAAACAGATTGTTGCACTTAATAAAGACTGTGAGTTATGAGGGACAACAAAGAGCAAAGGGAAGCAGTAAGTTATGTAAATGACAGCATGTTAAAATAATTTTCCTTGTTATCGACAGAAAATATGGCAATCTGAATTTATCCCTATTTAAATTTATCCCTATTTAAACAAGGCAGGATAAACAAGCAGGATAAACAAATAGTAAAATGGTACTATGCTGTCCTTCCAGACAAGAATTCAGATTACACAAAGGCACTGGCGCTGGAAGTCTCATTTCCTGGCCCCTACACACATGATGCTATGTTTATTTAGTGGTAAGGTAGCATATATATATACAGATTTGATGCCAAGCCATATTTATAAGATATGTAAGAGTTTTCTGGGCTTATCTGAGTTGGAGGTATTTGCATTACCAGTACTTAGTCTCACTTCTGTCATGTCCAATCATGTCTTTTACACATGAGATTTAGGCCATAAAGCTCCACCACAATGATTCATTAGTACAACAACAGTTAGATAAATGATTTTTGTATAAGTTGCATCAACTAACCCGCACTTTCTTCTTGTACCGATGGAATTCTCAAAACAGCCGCAGGGGAGTCTCCCTTTTTATTACAAGCAACAACACTGATCTCACAGGCTTCCCCTGTCAGGTTAAGGGTGAATTTCTTTTCATGAAGTTTTTCTTCTTTTTTACAAGTGTTGTTTTTTGTACAGTACTTTACAACATACTCATCTATTATTCCTGAACTTGGGAATTCTTTATCATCCTGTGTTTAAAAAGCAATACATGGTCACAATTAAAGAAGATAATTGTAAAAGATAGATTATTAGATAATTGTAATAATCAAAGACTGCAAAAGCCTATGTACAATTATCTAGGAGTAACACTGATAATGTGAAAAAGGATGCAAATAAAAAGGGAACCAGTAGGAGACAAGATCTGCTCCTTTGGTATCCAAGAATTATAGATATTCCACTGTCATTTATATTATCACGCTATTATGATTTAAATTATCTGTATTTAATGTGGTCAGCATTTCTAATCAATCCTATTAAATGGTCCACATTAAACAGTATGATTATGGAAATATTAACTCCACAAAAAGGCAACAAATAGTAAGATCAGCAGAAACTGAAGCTTAATTTAATTTGGGAAGGGAAAGAGATTTTAAAAAGCCTAACCTCTCACAGTGTCTGAAGGACTGCAGTCCAAGTCCATGGCAAGCCTCACTCAAAATTGTTACAGACCTGATGCACAATAGCTCATGCACCACAATCTTGTGCATGTCCCCAGAACCACCTGGCAGTCCTCTAAAAATGGGAACACCAATAGCAGAGCTTCTGAGGATGACCTCAGACATAGGGATCTCATATAAATACAGTATGCACCATTTAATACAGTCCCTGGTGGATCTTACTAGCAATTCTTACTAGATCTTACTAGATCTTACTAGAAGGAGCGCTTACATCCTTATATGCCCAGCCGCCCCCTGAGATCGGCGGGAGAGGCCCTTCTCCGGAGCCCTCCATGGAAGAAGTTAGGAGGGTGGTTACTCGGAGGAGGGCTTTCTCAGCGGTGGCGCCTAAGTTATGGAATGCGCTCCCCAGAGAGGTCCGCCTGGCGCCGTCGTTATTTGTTTTTCGGCGCCAGGCAAAGACCTTTTTATTTAAGCAGTATTTTAAATGTTAATATTATTGAATTTTATTTGGCCAGGGCGGCTTGTTTTATAGTGTATATTTGTATTTTGTTGTATGAATTTTAAAATGTTATTTTAAATTTTTTGTTGTAAGCCGCCCCGAGGCTTCGGCGAATGGGGCGGCATAAAAATGTTTTAATAAATAATAAATAAATAAATTGCCAAAAGACTTCAGAGTATCTGAACAAGAGTAATTAACTTGGGATCTTTTTATGCTTGCCTCTATTTGAGGTGGAAATTTCATTGATTCCTCCCTACAAACTGCTCCCCCATCAGTCTTAAACAATGAGGCCAAAATAGTTATTTAAAATAAACAACAGAAAAGCCAAGAGATTTTCACTTCTATTATTGGACTGCAGGCTGCAGTGAGGAACCTCATGGAAAATTTGGCATGAACCATCTATTTCCCAATCCATGACAAATAAGGGAAAGAAAGTTTACCTACACACAGGTTTCCATGCATCTTTCCAATTTTCCGACGAGCTATTCTGGTAAAGTGCCTGGGGTGAAGACCTTTCTAGGCCGTCCTCCATTAAAAACAAAGGATTATGTGGGCAAAATTCAGTGAGCAAAACTCAGATTGATGCCTCTATGCATTCTACTTGTATTCCCCAGATGTCATCTGCCTAACTTCAGCTGATGAAATGAAGACATCAGTTGAGAAAACCTCTATTATTTCTATACTGCCAACAAGCTGAAGCTCCCTAAGTAGTTCTCAACACTTAGAATAATCAAAGTGACCCAATTAGGGTTGCTCAGTTTAAAGGCTTCTACATACAAAGCTCTGTTCACATGTTGAATTATTCTTCTTGAATGAATGAAATGAAATGAAATGAAATGAAATGAAATGAAAAGCCTGAATGAAAAGGGTGCTGAGAAATAGAAGTCAAACTGCATTCATCAGCTAAATATTAATCCAAAAAAGTAGAATTTTGAAACATTCAGTGATGCTTTTACCTTCCACAAAAGATGCACAATTCGTGTTCCAGTGGAATGATTAGATTCAATTACTCTCCACAAGTCTACTTTCAAAGGAGCTATTAAAATTAAATAAAACAGAATTAAAAATACAAAATGCATCAACGGCCTAGTCCTAGAGCCGCTCCATGATACCCTGCACTCGCTACTGTGCTGCTGCTGCTGCTTGCTAGCTAGTCCTACCCTTTTTCAGTAGCAAGCAGCTACTCAACACAAGATAGCTAATTCTTTGCTCTCTTTCACAAGTGAGAAGCTCACGTACCAGCTATGGAGTGGTCCAGCTACACCAGCAAGCTCCTGGCATCACGCTTGAGGTTCCTTATGCTAGCACAATGACATTTACATTCATGCTCAAGTCCAAATGGTCCATCAGTGTTACCACCTCCCTTTGCCCTCTCAATTTTCTGTAGACTGAACACTGCAGTTATTAAATGGGTGTAGAGCAATCAGAGAGAGCTCTTCAGATCTAGATATATGGTAGGCTAACATTTCCCCTTCTCAGCACAATTCAAAAGTGATATCAATGGGCCACCAGTGTTCAGAAAGTCAGCTCAAAGCCCAGCCATTGTTGATGTGTGCCACTTAGTTCAAAACAGAAATGTATAAACTTGAATTTAGATTGTTTTTTGTAAGCGTGCAAATAAATTCAGCAGGCCGTGGGGATGGCAATCACATCAGGTCTTCCCAGCAAGAAAATGATTCCTATCACTGTGGACAGGCAGTACTTTCATAGCAAGAAGCCTTTTTCTCAGCTTTCTTCCTCAGAAGTCTGTAAAAACATTTTTAAAAAAAAAAAAGACACCAAATGTGGGACTGTACCTCAGTGATGCAAGACAGGCATGATCTGCTTAATTTAAAAGGCCCCAAGTTTGATTTCCAGTGTTTTGATTAACAGAGCACAGGGATGGGGGAAATCCCTGCCTGATACTTGTCACAGCAGCAGGGACTGGGTTGAAGGGCTAATGATTTCACGCAGGATACTATAGCCTAGCTTCCTAGGAAGAGAAATCCACAATCCCTGGGGCTTGGTCCAGCCAAGGTGCCTCATTTTAGCTTCAATGATACTTAGGAAGAAGCAAAACCACTTGTGTCAAAAATTACAGGGTGATAAATACATATAGTAAGGATTAGGAGATTATCAGTAAACAAAGGAAAAGAAAGTTCACAAGCCGTTCCAGAAGTTGCAGGGCTTCCTGATACAAAAGGATGTCAGTCTGGGGCACTGACTGCTCAGACATGGGGCATGCAGCTGATTCTAAGCAGAAAGCCAAGAACATGAATTTTTTGAAGCTGTTCTCTTCCTGTTTCAGAGGCTGTCAGTATACACAAGCTAACCCCTTCCTGGAAGTCAGGGGAGGAGGAAGAGAGAAGTCCTGGCTATCCCAATTAACTTCAGCAAAAGGCTGTGTAAATATCCTTATCTCAAGGATGAACTGAGTTCACAACCAGCAATCTCATAGATTACTGTGCCCCTAAAGCCTTCTCACAGCAATTAAGCCTAACAACTGCCTGTTGCCTTTGTGGCTACACTTAATGGCAGTACTGAACATTGCGAAGGATCCATGTTAACTCCTTGACAACATGTCTCCTGTTAATCCCGATATACCACCACAAGATCATTTCACAGAAAGAAAAAAATGGACAATCCCCCTTGAACTATCGCCTAAGTCTTCTTCCCAGTGATAGTCATTACTAGTCTAGTAATGACTTCCCAGTGATAGTCATCCTAAAAAAAAATGATTCCATTGCTATACTCACATTTTCCTTCAGTGTCTTCCCTCATGAATTCATATAGATTGAAATAAGTATTGTTCACAATGCTTCCCCTATGCAATATTCCACCTGTTCTGAAATCCCAATAACTAATTTAGAAAACATAGAAACAGTGCGAGTCAGAAGGGGTCTCCTGGGCCATCTAGTCTGACCCCCGGCTTCAGCCGGCTACACTCACAACATGCCCACCATGTGCATGTCCAGTCTATCTTTGAACACCCTCACCAATGGGGCCTCAACGACCTCTTGTGGAAGCCCATTCCACACCCTTGGGGTCCTAACCGTCAGGAAGTGCTTCCTGGAATCCAAATGGAACCTCAGTTCCCTGAGCTTTGCTCCGTTGGAGCGCATCCTGCCTTCCTCTGCAGGGGAGAACAGGTCTTTACCCATCTCCATGTGACATCCCCTTACATACCTGTATGTCACCGACAGATCCCCTCTGAGTCTTGTCTTCTCTAGGCTGAAGAGACCAGTTCCCTCAGTCTCGCCTCATACCCCATCCCCTGCAAACCGGCCACCAACCTTGTGGCCCTATGCTGCACTGACTCTAACCCGGCTATATCCTTTCTGTAATGAGGGGCCCAAAACTGAGCACAATACTCCAGTTGCAGGTGCACCAGAGTCATATAGAATGGTAGTAATACCTCTCTAGATCTAGAAGCCACGCTTCTGGCTATGCAACCAAGGGTGGCGTTCGTCCTCTTGACCACCGCATCACACTGCTGACTCATGTTTAGCCAGCAGTCTACCAGTACCCCAAGGTCCCTTTCACAAGTGCTGCTCTCCAGCCACTTGACCCCTAACCTGTACTTATGACATCTATTCCTATGCCCTAAGTGCAAGACCTTGCACTTATCCACACTGAACGCCATCCTGTTGTCTGGAAGATAATTAGGATGTCCTTTCCTTTTCCAAATACAAATTATACCTTGCTCTGTGCTGAACATCTACATCATTCAGGAGGAAGCAATCAAACAGGTGAAGAGAAGAAATGAATGCCAAGAATATGTCTAGACAGCAGCTTCCTGTTGCTTACTGCTGCACAGCAGAGTGAACCACAATCTTAATTGAAAGTAAAAATAAAATCTTCTAATACAAAATGTATCAGCTGTGTAAAACATCTCAACATTTTTGCTTGCCTTGTTCTTCTGTTCTTTGAGTTGCCTCATGACTCCAATCACTCCAGAAAATTGAATTATTTGGAATGCACCGAATGACAACAGTATAATTTGCAAAATCCCAGAGGTTAGTAATATTAAAGGATGTTTCTTCTTCTCCTGCTATTGTTTCAACAGTTTGCTAAAAATGGCAGAGCAACAGAGTTTCACGTCAAAGAGTACTCACAAAAATGGATGTAAATGAGTTATTACAATCCTCTCCCCCCCCCCCCCCCCCAGTTTAAACAGAAAATTAAAGTTGCCAAGAAAGGATATGAATTCTTCATCTGTCCACATCAAAGAGTGGCTTGCCAAGTTTGAAAGATGAGAAATGTCTAAACAGAGTGAGTGCATGAGTCTTTCTTTCATATTGTAAGCGTAAGATGGGAGACTTAGATAGATCCGCCTGGCCCTCCTTATCATCTAAATCGAGTACACTAATAGATTCAGAAAATTTTGTATACTATTATTACTCTTCATATATTATTACTTTGCATTTATATCCTGCTTTTTTCTTTTTAAAAGGGAGTCAAGGTGGCTTACACAGACTTCTATTCCTCACAACAACCCTGTGAAGTACTCCTTGTTAATTCTTGATTACTATATTCTTAGATAATTATTTATAATTGTCTATTTTGCATAAATGCTTCAAGGAGATCAGAAGGGAATATAACTTTTTTACTGTAATTACCAAACATCCTGCAGTAATGAGTGCACCAAGTATGGCTACAGACCTATGCAATGAAAATGAAAAAAATGGTTTTCAAAAGAGCTTTCTTTCTTTCTCTCTCTCTCCCCCCCCCCCCCCC